AATAAAAAACAGAAGTGGCTGGGAACACTCAGCAGGTCAGGCAGCATCTACGGAGAGAGGAGAGTGAGTTAATGTTTCCGGTCGATGACCTTGCGTCAGGACAACATTTGGACTTGTTTTCATTGAACTGAGAGCAGCTTCTTTACAGTGTATCAATTGTTTTTCGGTCAGCGCGGTTTGTTATCCATAACGAATCCATACAAAAGCACAAAAACACCATGAATTACCGTATTCAGCATGTCTCCATAGTTTCTGCTCCAGCAGTTTCAAGCAACATTTTTGATAGGCGAGACTGCCCTCTAGTGCTGGTTGACATTGTTCTTTATGTGTTCGGTTCGGTTAACTCCTGCTGGAAGGAGTTTTAAGTCATTTGAATTTTGGCTGGTAATGATGACCCATTATGCACATAGTTTCCATATCCACACTGGGGCTGATCCCAGTTAGTGCAGATAACAAGCTCTCCAATTGATACCTCATTGCTTCTCATAAGTCCAGCTAGAATGAGCAAAAGCCATCACCTTTGCTCCCTCCACGATATATACAATCACAGACCTCGCTCTCCCATTTCTATCGCTTGGGGAAGGTTCTGCTTGAACACTGAGGTCCATCGCACAGAATCTCTACCATATAAAAAGACGACCAAACTTGAATTTTCTACAGCACTTTATCACATGGAAATGTGTCAAAGCACTAAATAGTAGTTATTCAGTAGTAATATTGAACTGCTGTCTTTCCACTATTCATATCTGACATTCTTTCTCTTCTGTCAGAGCAATAAGGCTGATCCCAGTTTTAGTGGCGATGAGCAATGTAAGCTAGGAATCTTCACTTGACTGTATATTTTGTTTGGCCCACACAATATACAGTCAATTCACTTTGCAGTATATTCTGTGAAGCGTTTTGAGACGTCTCAAAGACTTGATAAGGCGCTATATCAAATGCAAGGATTATTATTATTCAATCTCAAAGAGAGACTTCTCCAAAGAGGTTGTATTTTTATATGTATATAAATAATATATAATATAATATATATAACATATGTGTATATATGTTGTATGTAGGATGCTAAACCGGATTGAGAAAATAAATCCAGAAGAATACTTTGCCACACACTAAAGCAACAGGACAAGACCATCCAGAACCCGGGCTTTATTTCTTTAAACAGAATGAGTTACCAGCAATTGACTGGAAATTCCACCTAGTCTACATAAGACCATTTTGTTTTATAACTTGAGGTCACACAGAATTAAGGAAAAGTCAGAAATCTGGCTTCCGAGCTTTGAGTCAATTCAAGACTTTTCTACATTTCTGTGTGGTCATAAATTGTAAAACAAAATGATTTTACAATGTGTTGGGCCTGAAGGTAGTTGATGCCAGGTCACTGGACTCACTTAAGAAGGAAGTTGCTGATGATAGGAACACATTAGTACAGGTAAATTGCTATGTATGGTTCCCATTCTATGGACAATTCACCCTTTGACCATTTGCAGTGGTTTCAAACCTGGTGCACTGCAGTTGTGTGAAACAGAGCAGGTAGAAATGCAGATGTTCTTATAGGAGCTCTGTAACCTGATACCACTGATCCAGGATCTCTTCCAATCCATGAGATCCCCTCTGGAGCCCCTATCGACCTGGCTGTTCCGATTGCTCAGCAAACACCACCCTGCTTCACGTCATGAAGTCCTGTAGCTTACTTGCCTCACAAGTGAGAGGACCTAGGTTCGCTTCCCGGGCAGGGCGAAACACTGGGCAAGTTTCCTTACTCCACAGCCTCTGTTTACCAAGCAGTAAGTAGGAACCGAGTTGTTAGTCGATTGGAGGATCTCTTTTCCTGGGGTAATAAACCCTTCCCCCCCAAAAAAGTAATTTGGTCACTCAATCCATGAGTGTTTGTGTGTTTGTGGGACGCTGCTGTGCGCAATTGGCTGCCACGTTTCGCCCACAAATATACAGTCAATTCACTTTACAGTATATCCTATGAAGCGCTTTGAGACATCTGGAAAACGTGATAAGGCACTATATCAAATGCAAGGATTATTATTATTATCAAATACAAAGATAATAATAATAATAATAATTATTATTATTATTATTATTATTATTATGTCCCCCACTCTATCCACCCTATTATTGATGGACAGGCTTTCATCCATCCTGCTCTCCCACTCTCTGGTACTCTGTCCTGGAGTTCTTCCAACTCGCTCCCTCCCTCACCACCATATTCAAACTCCATCTCAAGACATTCCTCTTTGATTACGTTTTCGGTCACCTTTCTCTCTTCTCCAGTCCTTTCAGCTCCCACCCTCAGCTGAGGCGGTGCCCAACCAAGAGTGTTAGCTGCTTTGATACAGTGAAAGGCGCTAATTAAATGTAAATTGTATTACACAGTATTTGTGGTGTATTGTGGAAGCAGTACATGTGAGAGACAGCTGTTATATTCAATTGCTGCATTCATTTATAAAGGCAATGCCTTCGATCCTCTCCTTCTGTAGGAATGCTGTAACTACTGTGGAACCTTGCTACCCAGGACTCACTCTCGCCGCTTCTCTTCTCGCACATTCTCTGCATTGCGTAAGATTAGCTCAGGAATGAAAAGTCCATCGTGCGATTTGTTCAGCACTAGAGGGCAGCACACTGTAGCTTTCTGCACGGCTGTTTGAATTGCGAGACCGCTCTCTGGTTTTGATTGATGCATATTTGAGCGACTGAGTCATTTTATGGATTGTTTTCTCTCTTTGAGAGCCAGGGAAGCGCTGCCATTTCCCACTCTCTGTAAAACATGCAAAACGCTTTCAATTCAGCCAAGTGAAAGCTTGGCTTGAACACCCGCACAAAATCATTCCTAATCAGTGTGAGAAAGCTATTTTCACCAAGCCCGGCAATTGTACTGACCAGGGCAGCATGCGTAATGTGCTCCTTCCCTCCAAGATACTCTAAGCGCTCTGGGACGCTAACTTGCTTGAGGGACGATGAATAAATGCAAGTTGTTGTTACAGATGTTTGGTGAATCATCCTCCTTGAATCTTCAGTGGGAATAATGCCATGTTTCATCATAACAGATAACAGATCCAATGCAGTAGTACACCAACAAACCTGTTAAGAGGTATCAGATTTTCAGGTGATATTTATCGAGAGTTTTGGGTGGGAACAGTTCCCACACCACTAACCTGCACCCCCCTACCCCCACCCCCCACTCCCCCACACACACACACACACACACAGCCCCAACTTTAGCAGAAAAGATCTGAAGCCACCTGAAAAACCTGACACACAATATCTCAGTCTGGGAGATGACCGTAACCATGGTCGGACAGGGAGGTTTTCAGGCGGGACTTGAAAAAGTGACTCCCGCCACTGTGAAGCTCTCCAGCCTGGACCCCACCCAGCGTGAAGGACACTATATCAATGCGAGTCGTCGGTGTTCATTGTCAGGACGGACGATCAGAGCCTCCCTCGACCACCACGGTCGGGGGAGGGGAGGGAGGGAGGAGAGTTAGCGGGTGTGGGGGAACCAAGGACAAACACGGAGGAGCTCCTTCTTTCCACAGTGAGAAATTTCTCTATGGCCTTCATCACCCGCTCCTCACCCAACCTCTGCTATCTCCCAATCCATCCGTTCCCTTGACCCAGCAAACAGCTGCTTGCTTCATGTCCGCACAGAAACACACACACACATACAGAAACACAGATACACATACAGAAACACAGATACACATACAGAAACACACAAACACAAATTGAGTCATTTTCTGGACTTTGGAGCATTTATTTTTTCAACTAAATCAATTTCAGACACATGCACAACTATACACTATGGTACAAAAGACAGCCAACCATACTCATGCATGCGTTTAAAAATTAATTAGAAATCTTTCACCAATACAATAAGTATTTTAAAAGCACTTTGTTCAAATAAATGATGCATGATTTAAAATATTTGGAAGTTTTGTAAAATAAAACCGGTGAAGTGCACCATCTTCTATGAATTATATCATTTTTAAAAAGATATGGATATTGAACACTATACATTTGTGCAAAGTTTGTTAGAAATAGGTAAACTTTGGCTTGAAACCTCATATTTAATATATATTCATGTTAATAATTTTATGTTTCACTATATATTAAACATGCAACTTTTTATTATTTCCCAACCAAAAATATGATCTTCCTTATAATAGTGTCCAGCATGTTTGTTGAGCAGTTTGTTTATCTAGTTTGATGGGACTGTGTGGATCTCTGTTAAAGAGTTTTAGGTTTGACATAACATAGGCACTGTCTTGACCACCCCTCTGCACAATTGCTTTGGTACAACTCAACCCAGCAGAGTATCTTCACACAACCATAAGGAAGACAGACAAAAAACACGAGCCGATTTACACCGGGCCGTGACAGGAATAGCAAAGAGGCTTCTGTTGTTTTCAGTGGAGCTGGAAGGGAAGGTTTACTGAATAGCACAGCTGCCTGGTCTGGATGTCCCGTATGCCCTTTAATACTGCACCGCCTTCTGTAGCACTTTCTGCTAAAATGAAGCCTTGCATTATTTTTCTTGATAACGCTGTATGCACACTGCAAAATTTCAGTGACCGAGGCATCGTTCACCAGCCCATGGAGTACACAAAGGTTTCAATTGCAAAGAAAACTGAATTGAATAGCTGGAATGTTTATGTATATTCATTGCAGAGTATATAGTTTAGAATCCAATAGCTCGTGTACTATATAGACACGTTGTGTTAAGCAGAGCATAACATTTGATTGCATTTTGTCTATCCCCTGCCCTTTCACCCTTTAAGCAAACCAAAACATGACGAGGTTTACAATGCTATGAAAACTATTTCGTTCGTGTGTTCACCTGCCTTACATGTTGCAACCCCCTAGACGGTGTCAATCTACGTTAACCTTAACATTGAGCCGCAACACTGCAAGTTGTTTCTCCCACAAAATACGAAGTCAATTCACTTTACAGTATATTCTGCGAAGCGCTTTGAGGCGTCTTGAAGACGTGATAAGGCGCTGTATCAAATGCAAGGATTATTATTATTACGTATCAAAAATAGGTCTACACACATGCACTGATCGTTAGAGGAATATTTAGCGTTTTATGCCAACCGTGCTCCAGGACGTCATGTAACAATTCATCGCTTTTTTTGGGGGGGGGTGGAAAAAAGAAATAAAATAAAATCCCTTTACTTTTCAGGGATTTTGGTGCTTCCTGCCTCCTTTTTGGCTCGTTTTGGCACGAGAGAAAGAAAACCTTACTGGCTTTGCAAAAGGCAGTGGCTTCAAGGAGTGAGGTATTGGCAGTTCTTTGATGCTCCCGGGGAATCTGGATGGAGGGAGGCATTTGAAGATGCACTGCATAGCCAACATGGATAGGGTGGCAGGCACTCTCCCGCTAAGGTAGTTGTATTGCTCCTCTCCGAGGAGCTCCTTCCACTCCGTCGCATTCTCCTCCAGGGCTCTCTTCATCTTAAACTGCAGCGTGGACATGAAGAGCAACAGGTGATTGGCGCACAACTTTTTGGGCTCGGAGTTGGTCTTGGACACCCAGATCTGCTGCAGGATGATGTCCAGCGGTGTTAACCCTTGGCTGTCCGCGATCCTGGCCGAAGCCCCGCTGCCCAGCAGCATCAGCACGGTCTCGGCTCTGGTCAGCTCGCAGGCCAGGTGCAGGGGCGTCTTGCCGTCCTCCACGTGGAAGCAGCCCTTCCTGTCGATGTAGGACTTCAAGCCGGGCAGCCGGTTGACGATCTTTAGGATGAGTCCCAGGATGTCCTCCCGATCGTACCTGACCGCCATGGTCAGGTGAGGGGCCGAGGACGGACAACAGCAGAAGCGGTCGCCAGGCACCTCCAGCGCCTCGAGGGGGTAGCGAGAGAGCAGGTATTGGGCGTAAGGCAGGTGGTCATGGACCACTGCGTACAGCAGGGCTTCCGAGGGCGAGTAAGCTCGGAGGCTGGCATTCTCCTCCCAGTAGAAGCACTCCATAGTCCTCATGTCCTCCAGCATCCACACCGGCGTGCGGTCCCTCACTGCCTGGTAGAACATGTAGGACAGGAACTTGCATTGCCTTTGATGGTCCCGGTTGGAAACAGGGTGGCTACACATAGTCCACACAAAACCACGGTCAGGTTGGCCACTCACTCACCCACTCACTCCTTCCCTCCCTCCCTCCTTCCTTGTGGCTGTGTTGTGTTGTTTTAGAGGATGCTGTGGTTTCTGTGCTCTCCAGATTTATCCTTTGCTTTTCTTGTCCTCCTCCTGTGTGTGTGTGTGTGTTTTTTTTTGCTTGATGTCGATTGCTATTTAAATAAACACAATCCCGAAGGTCAAACCTACCCCATGCATCTGCATTGGCATGTTCACTGCTCTGTGTCTGTGTCACACACTCTGTATGTGTGCCTGTATCTCTGTGTCACACACTCTGTGTGTGTGTGTGTGTGTGTCTGTCTCTCTCTCTGGTCTATCGATTGGTCTCAAAACCTCCTCCTTTCGTTGAGTCAGTCAGTCAGTCAAGTGTTGAGGCTTCTCAGAGAACGTCCTTGGCTAGCGATGGCTGGTGATGGCTAGCGATGGCTGGTGATGGCTAGTGATGGCTGGTGATGGGCGAATCGAGTGGTCCTTACACTATCTTCTTCCTGGTTGACTGGGACCACCACCGATTTCTTCCCAAACTGAAAAATCCCGCAGTTGTCGGCAAGACACATTGAAAATGAACACAAGGCTAATATTTCTTCCTCTTTCTCTTCTCTCTCTCTCTCTCGCTCTCTTTCAGTTATTGCTCTTGCCAGCAATTGGAAGTGGGGGGGTCAACACACACAACACACACACACACACCATCAAGCTCATCTGCTGCATCGATCGCCTCCTTGCAATGTGTAGAGAGAGAGAGAGAGCTCTCTATCTCTCTAACACGCACTCTCACACTCAGTCGCTCTCTCTCCCTCTCTCCTCCCTTGCGACCTTGTCAGTTTCAGTGTTAAAAAAGCTGTGGAGGGCGGAGAGAGAGAGAGAGAGAGACTCGCGAACGAAAAAGGGGGAGGAAATATTGCAGATGATAGCAGACCAGAGATGCGAGGAAATAATAAGGGAAAGGGATGTAAAAGGAGGAGGAAAAAGAGGACACACGAAAAATATCAGAGGATGGTTGTGTGTTTGTGGAGGGGGGGGGGGGGTTCAAACAAAAAAAGGGAGAGAGAAAAATGTAGAAAAGAGAAGAGAGTGGGAGGAGAGAGAGAAAATAGACAAAATCCCAGCCAATGGATAAATGGGGGGAGAAAAAATAAATTGGAGGAGAAGGGGAGAGAGGAGAAGGAGGGAAAGGAAGAGTGGGGGGGAGAGGATGAGAAAAAAAGGGGATTAAAGGAATGGTTAAAATGCAGAGAGAGAAAGAGAGATTGCAGAGAGAGGGAGAGACACACACACACACACACACACACAGAGACAACACACATGAATTACAAGGGGAAAATCCTCTAGTAAATTAAATTAAATGTAAGTGATGACATGATGTAACAAAGGTCATGACAAGAGCTGGTGCAAATCCCCCCCCCCCCACCCCACTACCACCACACTCCCCCTTGTTAACATGAATTGAATCTGACTTGCTCAGTTGTACAGTCATATTTCGATCAGGGATGTGCAGAAATACTAATGGAAATGAATCCCCTTTTACCATTGGTGTTGGCTCATTGATCTCTTCCCCAACCCCCACCTCCCTCCTCCGCCCCTACACCTTTCGGTCCAGCACGCACATCCCTACACCAGCAGGTTGGGGGTTTGAGCCCCACCTTATGGGATGGTAAGTGTAATGTTGGCAGCTGGCAATACTACAACAACAACAACAACTTGCTTTGATATAGCGCCCTTCGCGAGGATCGCTTCACAGTGGCGGAGTCTGATACCGAGCCGGGGGAGAGGGTGGGTGAGGAGGCGATCGTAAGCACGATCAAAGAGGAAGGTCTTTTTGGGCGGGATTTGAAAATGGGGAGGGAGGGGGCAAGGCAGAGGGATTGAGGGAGAGAGTTCCAGAGTTACGGGTGTGGTGGCTGAGGTCAAGAGGTTTGGCAGGAGACCAGGAGAGAGATACCACTTAGCCTTAAATTAGAGATTTCATGCTTTACTGCCAATACACTAAGCGCAAAGCAGACCCAACTTATTAACAGTAACTATGCAATATTAAAATGCATTCATTGCAGATGTGGCCAGCAATAAACCCAGGTATTATACTCAACATACATAAACAAAATGTTGTTGGTGCAGTTCACATCGGTAAGAGCGCAACACAAATTATCTTCTGAATTGAAAATGCTAAAGGAGATACTTAAGATATTAAATCTGTACAAGCTAAAGTGACCGTCTATCTCTTTGATATGGGACTGGTTGAATAATGTGTCCAGATGGTTCAGCTGTTGTCTTTGGTTCCCTCCTGTGACTGAGAGAAGTGGATGTATTCATTCTTTCTATGTGCTGATAGTCCAGTATCTTCAACTGCATAGTATTCCTGTGCAGATACCTGTGACATTTGAGTTTGTCGTTTGTCAATCGTGCATACATTTGAACATGATTGCAATGTGTGTGTGTTTGTATCTGTAGGTTTGAGCCTCACATTGGTCTTTGAACTCATATAGTCTAGACTGACACTCTAGTACAATGCTGAGGGAGTCCTCAATTGTTGGAGGTGCCGTCCTTCGGGTGAGACATTAATCCAAGGTCCAGTCGGCCTATTCAAAGACATTAAGGATCCCATGGCACTGTTCAAACAGTGAGGAGAAGGAAGTTCCTCCCTGTGTCCCGGCCAATAATCACCTAAATAAAATTGTTCCATAGCTGTTTGTGGGACATTGCTGTGGTGCATATTGGCTGCTGCATTCGCCCACAAAATACACACAGCTTTATACTTTACAATATATCCTGTGAAGTCCTTTGAGATACCTCGACAACATGATAAGGTGCTTTGCCTGAAGCAAGGATTATTATTATCATTCACTTCATGCCTGTTGGATGTGGCAGCCATATCTGCCTACGAAATACACAGTCACTACACTTTATAATGTATCCTGTGAGATGCTTTGAGATGTCCTCCCAGTATGAAAGCCCTGTATCAAATGCTAGGATTATTATAAATGCAGAGAAAATATGATAAAGTTCCCAATGCTGGGCTGAGACCAAAAAAAGATACTGTATAATTACGGTATATTCTGTGAGGCGCTTTAAGATTCTCAAAGACGTAATAAGGCGCTATATCAAATGCAAGGATTATGAGTATTATTTACTATTGTTATCACGAGCAATGTAGCAGAGTCACACCTGTGAGCGTGTCGCTCACTTTTCTGAGACGTTCCAGCTAACAATTCGGTTCAAACATTACCTCAATATTGAGAACCCTGGTTGAAGTCGGAAAGAAAAATAAATCTGTAGGTTGGTATAATCCCTCACATGTTTGGTAGTCCTTCAATATCCCTTCACTAAGTGGCTTAAGAGCTTCCAAGTCAGGTGCAGTTAAGTCACCTGGTACAATGCATACAAATCTGTCCACTCCCTTCACTCCGCTTGGCCTGCTCCATGTCCCAGTGGTCCGGCCTTTCAGCCTCTCTGCCTCCACCACCCCCCCCAAACAGCTCGGGTCCAAATCCCTGACTATTCAGCGCCTTGGGATGTCCTCCCGACGTGAAAGGCCCTAATACAAATGTAATTTTGCATTGCAGTTTGTATAGAATACAGCTAATGAGTCGCACGTTCATAGAAAATCACTATCACTTATCACTGCCATCAAATGACACTTCAGTAATTAAACACATTTTTTCATTGCTTCACCCTTTATTATTCTGCATGAATATAGATGTCAAAAATCTCACCCGATTAATAACTAATCAATGCCTAATGGGTCGTGTGTGACTATCGACGTCTGGGTAAGAACGACAGATATAAAAGCTGTTGAAAAACAGATGCCTATGCAATTTTTCCCTCTGACTGACGGAAGATTGCCTCCTGTATCAATCCCAGCAGCGGCTACATATATCCTGTATAGGTCTTAATTGTAGCAGTTGAGTCCCGTTGCGGTTAGTGCGCTCGCCTTGTTGTGCGCAATTGGCTGCTGCCTTTCGCCCACAAAGTACACAGTCACTAGACTTTACCGTATATTCTGTGAAGCGCTTTGAAACGTCTCAACGACATGATAAGGTGCTATATCAAATGCAAGGATTATTATTATTATTATTATTATTATTATAACCCGCAGGACCATTTTGTCTCAAACTATAAAATTGTGCGGAATTGTAGGAAATTGTTTAATTCAGTTCTCAATTTGGACGCTGATTCTGTAAAGCAGCAGAATGAGATTCATTTTTTTTTATCCATAATTCCAAACAATCTTAAATTTGAATACAAAATGGTCTTTCAGAGTAAGACTAGATGGAATCCTAAGGCTTACATGATTTCCTGTTTGTATGAATAAAGGTGATTTGGAGACTTAAACGCAAATGAAGCACAAAATCAAGTTTTAGTAATATTCTGTGAAGCGCTTTGAGATGACTCGAAGACGTGATAAGGCGCTATATCAAATGCAAGGATTATTTGTATTCGGACAAAAGGGAGCCAGTCTGTCATCAATTCTCCACCAGCTCTCAGAGCAAGGTGTTCATTCATTCAGTCCCACTACCCTACCTTATCCTCATATCCTTCAAGCCTCTATTTTGCTTCTTTTGAAGTGCTTATCCAATTATCTTTTTAAATGTGGTTTTGATTCCAGCTTTAGTCGCCACTTGTGGCAGAGCTTTTCTGTTTTTTAACAACCCCACTGTGCGAAATTCACTTCTAACCTCTCTTTTGCCTCTTCCATTGACAGCCCTCAGCTAATCCCCCTGTTACCAATTTACTAAACAACAGGAATAATCCTTTACTATCTATCCTCTCAAAGCCTTTCAGAATTTTGAAGATTTCTCTTACATCCCCTCTTAACCTTTTATGTCACAGTAGAAACAGACCCAATTATTCAAACCTTTCCTAAAATACATTAAACTTTCATCCCTGATATCACCTTTGTAAACCTTTACTACACTCTTTAAATGGTTCGATGGCTTACAAGTACAAAATTACATTTGTACAGCGCCTTTCTTGTTGGGAGGACATCCCAAGGCGCTGGATAGACAGGGATTTGGACCCGAGCTGGGGTTTGGGATCAGGAATAGTGGAGGGCAAGGGACGGTGGGAGGGTGGCCAAAGGCTCGGTCAAAGAGACGCGCCTAGAAGGAGTCAAGAGAGGGAGTGAGGTGAAGGGAATGTGGGACGGTTTTCCAAGGGTGGGGGCAGATAGGCTGAAGGCCTGACCACGGGCCGGGCCGGGCGGGAGATGTGGAGCAGGCTGGAGCCTGCTGAGAAGAGGGAATGGACAGGTTGATATGAGGTCAGCAGGTCGCAGAGGTAGGAGGGCCTTGAAGGCAAGGACGAGGATTTTGAATTCTATCCTCTTTGGGATGGGGAGCCAGTGGAGCCGCGTGGGCGTGATGGGGTCGTGGAGCCTAGAGTGGGAGAGAAAACGAGCTGTAGAGTTCTGGAAAATATGCGGCTTGTGGAGGGATGATTTGCAAAGCCTGGCAAGCAGGGCATTGGCATAATCGAGCCTAGATATGATGAATGAATGGATGAGGGTTTCAGCGGCCTAAGGGGTGAGGCAGTGGCAGAGCCGGGCAATGTTGCGGAGGTGGGGGAAGACAGAGTGGGTTACGGCATGGATGCGGTGTAGAAAGGATAGTTGAGGGTCAAACAAAATGCCAAGGTTCCAGAATGGCTAAGTAAGGTGTGCAACCATGGATGGTGATGCTTTCAGCACCTGAGGTATGGAGGCGCTGATGGGAGCCAATCAGGAGAGCCTCGGTCTTGTTGACATTCAACTAAAGAAAGTTATCTCTCATCCAGGACTTGATGTCTGACAAACAATGTCCTTCTGTCAGGACAGCAGTGGTCCTGGAGTCGAGGGTGGAGGCAGAGAGGTAGAGTTGAGTGTCATCTGCATACATGTGGAAGTTGACCCCAGTCTGTCACCAAGAGGGAACACGTAGATATTGAAGAGGATGTCAACATTTACATATCCTCAATAATAGAGCATTTATCCCCGAAAAAGCGGGGTCTCTTTGTGGGCTATCGGAAATTCTCTTCTCACCTTCCTTGACTCCACGGTGATGTACTTGGCAATGAAAAGTAAGAATCGAATCAACCCTCTGTGGTGTGTTTGTAGTCCAATTTCTGAGCCTTGGAGTTTCTCCAGTTCTCCAGGGCACTGCTGATGACCGCACAGACAGCCTGGCTCATTGGCAGACCACGGAGAGGCAGACCAGTCACTGGGAGTAGGGAATCTTCCCACTCAGCTCCTTTTAACCTTACAATCCAAAGCCCCAATGGGCTGGTAGTCCTACCTGTTCAAGCAGCAGGAAGTGTGGCAGATAGCGCTCACAATGGCAAGTTATGTGATTTTAACAGTTTAATCTCAAGCAGCATCCCAATGGTTACTGAGGGATCCCCGACCTTTGCTACTCACACCATCTGCACCTTATTCTTTCTGAAATTAGGTAAACAGGGGGCACTTTCTTCTGTACTGAAAAAGTACTACGATTCTGGGATTCTAATCAATTACTCGTTTTATCGCAGTCCGGAGGCTCAGAAGAACTGCCGTGTTCACCAATACAAGAGATTTCAAAATACCTCACCATGTGAAGGGTTTTACAACTCGGTGAGGCGCTGCATCAAGTGCACGTAGTATTATCTCAACACGGCATTAACGTGCTGCTTAAACAAGAGCCGCGAGTGCTCTACGTGGCTGGTGTGACCACAGGGTTAAGAAACTGCTCTTAACTGCTCTCTCAGCCTCATCCCTTGTGACGTTTGAGGGTACATTTCCTAAGTGTGCTATGATTTCCAATGTTATTCAGTAAAATTTCCCCCCTCACGCCTGTAAAAAAAATTCTTCTCTCCCTAATAAGACTCGACAATGACAACAACTTGGATTATACAGCACCCTTCATGTAGGATAACATCTTGGAATGCTGTGCCTTTCAACCCTTATATCCCGACTCACATAGAGAGTTCAGTACCTACAACAAGAAACAACCCACTTTACTTTAATTGGCCCCATTAATTAACACACCGTGGCCTCCCTTAGGACACAGAGGAGAAGTGACTGGCCAAAGCCTGATTAAGATGATGCGCTTAAGCTCTTATATTTTTTTATCTATTCGGGCATCTGTCGAGATAGAAAGGAGGTGGATAAACCCTCTTAATCCACAGCCTGCCACAGCTTCGAGCGAGCGACTGGAAACAAATAATGCAGCGTTTTTGAGTGGAAAAATAGGTGGAAATTTGAGTGAGCAAATGCGTCAAAATCAATTTTTCTTTCCGAGGGTGTGACAGTGGATGTTCTGAAGTGTAACAGTTTTCAGCGCATCGAAGCCTTTGAAAGCAAAAGGGGTTGGTTTGAGTCAAGGACAATTGTTGATGGAAAGCATCTGGCAATGGCAGGTGGATAAAACAGCGCTCAGCCTCTCTGGTGCTTTACTTTAAAAGGGTTTTTCCAAAGGTACAGGAGGAAGGAGTGATAATATGGGGTGTACACCATCTCAAAGCGGGATAATCCAGCACATCACCAGAACTACCTTGAAGCCGCTGAAGAAAACTAAATCTTTGATGCCCCCGGAGGAGATTCCCAGTGAGAATTTTACCCGATCACTCGAGGAAGGTTCCAGTAACTGTACCTCAGACAGTGAGTCCAACCTCGGGGAAGAAGAGATCTGTCACAAAGTGGGCCTGAGAGGGAAGAGAGAGGGAGACTCCAAGTCACTGGGCTGCTCAGATCCGTCTCCTCGGCAGGGATCAGCCGGGCAGCTGGAACTCAACAACCAAGGCAAGAAGGCAGAGAAGCTGGCCGCTGAGACAGAGGTAGCTAAATCTGAGCAGATCATTTTGGAAAAGTATGTAACTTCGAAGAGAGGGGTTGTTGAAGCGCATTCCTCGAGGCTGGCAGAGGAGATCCAGCAGAACCGTGAAGGGAAGCCAGTCCCACAACAGCACAAGAAAACCAAGAAGCCAAAGGGGCTTCAGTCAGTCAAGCAGACCAAGAACATCAAGACCAGAGCCAAGAGCGAAGACAAGGTTGAGTTCCCTGATGTGTTGGTTCAAAGCCACCAGGCGGCCTATGCTTTTCTCAACCCGAGTCTCTCCAAGTATGAAACCATCTTGACCTTAACCGAGCAAGCCACCCAGACCCAACTCATCCTCCAGCAGATGGTCAGCTTCTTGGCGTTTCGTTTTGAAGAGGTCAACCAAGCCCTGGAGGAAATAGTCATAGGCGGCGAGAAGCTGGTCAAGAGGGTTGGGGACAATCTGACCTGGCCAACCGAGCAAGGGGTTCTGAAGGATCAGCCCGACCTACTGCAGCAGCTCTTGCAGTACACGGTCAACAAGATGCAGGCGGTGAACGGGACGGTGGCTCTGGTGACTGGTGGGGCCCTGCAAGAGACTTGTGGTTATCTGCAGTCGGCCACGGATATTTTCCAAGAGAAGCTGAAGACAAAACAGCAGATGGACGACCGGCTCCAGAGGCTGATCGCTCACTTGGAGGCACGAGCCACACAGCGCTCTCACAGTGCCCCAGACATGACCCTTTACTCCGAGGACAGCGGCATTGGTGCTGACAACGATTCCCTCAAGGAATATTGCATACTGGACAAGTACGGGAGGCGGGTGAGTTGTGACGTCAACGCGTACCCTTTGTGCACCCATTCCCATCAGAGTGGCTGCCCAACACAGTCGTGTGTTTCCAATGCACCGACCTGCTCCTCAAAGTCCCACGACTGTGCCGTTGAACGGCGATTCAAAGACATATTCTATGCCTCAAATGCACCTCGATCTTCGCTGATGAAGATGGGCAACTCATTTGACTCCAACGCAACTACGGATGCTGAGAGCCTAAAAGGCGCAGAATCGATGGACCTTGGCTCGTTGGACGAAGAGGACACCAATGAGAGCGACACGGAGACAATTGCCGATGGGACGGTGCCTCGAAGGCCAAGTTCAACCCCAATAGAAATTGGGTCCCTGAGGTCTGGCCCGAAGAGAATCGATAACCCAGAGAACGAAGAGATGACTATCAAGCTTAAAGATGCTATCAGTGGCAGGATCCAGTTTGTCCCAATCGCTTCCGGGACCAACACATGGTCCGATGAAGAGAGCAAACCCTATCCCGTGAGACCCAGCACCGCAAATATCTGTAAAACTACCATCGCCAAACAGAAGAGGTCCAGGTCGGCTGAGTCACTGAGAAGTAAAGCCGAGGATCCAACCCTCTTGGAGCTTCAAAGAACCCAGAAGAATCTCAGCAAACGTCTGGACAAGATGTTCCAAGCGAAAGAGAATAACAAAGCGATACCCGAGAAGAAGAAGGCCACACGGCCCAGGATTGCAGCCAACACGCAGAGCACAGATCAGGCCACTCCCAACAGCAAGCTCAAAGCATCCCTCAATAAAAACTTTAGCATTCTGCCCAACCCAGACCGGGTGCTGCTTAAGAAGAACGACCAGGGGAATGGCAGGCAACAGGAAGACAGGAAAAGTCGCAAGAGCCCCGTCAAGGCAGTGCCCGCGAAACACAACTCAGCCAATGCCAAGGAAAGCCAGACGCCCAAGACCAGTGGGGGGAAAACTGCCAAGAACCCCCACCACAAATCAGTCAAGAAACTGATCGATACTTTCAGCCAAGGGAACGACAACGACAAATCTGAGAATCCAAAGGCTCCAGTTGGAATGAAACGGGCAAAACAGTTGGGGGTTCTTATCCTTCCCCATGTTGCTATGGGATCCAGAGACCGAGTATCTCAGAGGCACGTGTTTCCTGCCATTGAAGATCTCAGCGATCAGCAGGAACCAGTTTCATCCAGCGAGACACTTCTTCCTCCTGTGCCAACCAGTGAGTGTCAAGAGGGCTTTGCACAGGACGAAGAGGAGATGGAGAGCTTCCCACCACCGCCGTCCAATGTTTCGTTGGAGAGCCTGTCGGATGTACCAAGGGCTTCAGGGATCACAGCAGCCACACCGACAAACCCCTCAGAAACAGCAGACAAGCGAGCTGCAAAGGTCAATTTTATTGTTCCCAAAAAGACGTTAGTGGCGCAGAAGCTGAGGGCGTCGCTGAACTCAGTGGACGTTCTGCCAAGTAGAAACAGGCGCGTTGGGGCCTTCAGGATGCAGAAAAGACCAGAGCAAGAGATGTCTCTCAGCAACTCATCCTTGGACATGAGCCAACAGGAACACATGGAGACACAGCGCAGACTGTGCGGGAGGAGCAGTCACTACCCCCAATCCTACAAGATCATAAACCTAAAAAACACAACGGCTTCAAGCTCAATGGAAGATTTGGAATCTGAAACGATACAGTTTCCAGATGCGCAGACAAGTCAAGTCCAAGATAAAAGGGAAAGTGAGCGAGACTATGGGGGAGAAATGCTGCTGAAAGAGACCAACGGGTTCTTATCACCTACAGAGAGCCAATTGCAGAACTCTTGTGACTCCATGGCAAATGCCAGCACTGGCAATGGTCAAAGGGATTCTGCGTACAGATGCACAGCTCTCTCACCCCCTATAGACAAACAAATCCAATTCTCTTCCATTTCAGACATGAGAGGTGATGACACCCCTATCATTGTCCGGAGATCGACTCCAAGCAGATATAGAAGCCCATCCCCGCCTCCCGAGAGGAAGCTTCCAAGCCCCCCGTTACAGCCCAGGAATCTTTTCCAGACCATGAGATGTACATTTCCCTCACCCCCTACAGAGAGGAAGCTCCAGAGCCCACCTACACAACCCAGGCGCCCTTTTCAAGCACTTACTTACATTCCATCTTCACCTCCATCAGAGAATAGACTGACCAGCCCACCCGTGCAGCCCAAGTATCTCTTTCTGTCCATGAGTAACAAGCAGGCTAGCCCGCCCACCCTCCGTAGGCAGATGAGCCCTCCGGTCAGTGCAAAGATGCCAAGCCCTCCTACCCAGAAGAAACAAGCCAGCCCACCAACCCAAAGCAAGATCCCCAGCCCACCTTCGCAGCGGAAGCAGACGAACCTCCTTTCACACAGTAAGTTCCCAAGCCCGACGACTGGCCGGAGAGAGGTGGGCCCAGGTCCGTATCCCACCAGCAGCTCTCCCCCCATTTCACCCAGGATGCTGCATAGAGGATTCCGACACAGCTTAAACGTCGGCGAGGAGCCTCAGGCCTCCATGCGAATTGCATCCAATGTTTCATCCATCTTTTGCCCATCATCAGATTCCATGTTCGAGGCCAAATCATCTTCTCCACCCACCTGCTTTGATCCAGTGAATGCTACAGGTCACTCCCAAGTCTGTATTCTAGGGGACGGTAGCCCTATGACCTCCAGGTCAGTGTGGAGGAACAGCTTCATGTTCAGGCAGTATGGAGACCAGCAGAGAAGGTCCACATTGAGTGGTGTCTACCCTCAGCCTTTTGTTAAAAGAAACTTTGCTTCAGATTGCAGGGCTGCATTTCCGCTTCAACTCCCGGTCTCAATCTCGGCTTCTGCTGGGAGTGAGCCAACACTTTGCAGAACTGGGTAAGTCTTCCTCAGGTGTCCTTCTCATAAACTTGTGTGTTTTTGGAGGCGATTAATAAATCCTTCACAAATACAGCTTCACATTTATTATTCATACATGGAATAAGAATCCTTGCATTTGGAACAGTGCCTATGAGGTTGAAACGTCTCAATGTGATTGTGTGTTTACAATAATAATCCTTGCATTTGATATAGCACCTCATCACGCCTTATCCTCTTTGACCACCATTCGGTCACCCTCCTACCCCTACCCTCCCTGCCCTCCACCCTCCCTGATCCCAACCCCACCCACCCACCCAGCCTGCTTGGGTCCAAATCCCTGACCGTCCAGTGCCTTGGGATGTCCTCCCGAGATGAAATGCACTTTACAAATGTAATTTGTTCTTGTTGTGGAGACAAAGGGCTTCACAGAATATACTGTAAATAATATTAATAATAATAATCCTTGCATTTGATATAGCGCTTTTCACGTCGGGAGGATGTCCCAAAGCGCTTCACAGAACACACTGTAAAGTGAATTGACTGTATATTTGTGGGCGAACGCGGCAGCCAATTGCGCACAGCAGTGTCCCACAAACAGGCATCTCTGGAGGATTGTAGCTCAGACCCAGTGGGAGAATTTCCCTTCTGGTTTTGAATAATGTCATGGGATCTTTAATGGCTACCTGAACCGGCAGAAGAAACCTCTTCAGTCTAACGTTTCATGGAAAGGATTATTTATCTGGGTGAAAAATGCAAGACGTGATATGTTAATTTTTACCAGTGAGAAATATCAGATCAACTAACATTTTGCATCCAAGCCAGCCAATAATTAGCAAGTAACACAATGGGCGGGACATGGGGAGCCATAGTACTTACCTTGCCTTTTCATAAGTTGATGAGTGTAAAGAGCAGCCTAGAGAACCCTTAGGAACCTGCGTTCAGTTGCAGTTTAGTGGGATGGAAATTGGAGAGAAACAATGGGATCAGAATGTGAATTCACAATAGGATTCACAAATATCAAGTTCTAGAAAGAAACTGGATATACAGTACATCACATTAAGCCCCAGGAACTGCATCCTGACACACTCAGACAATTTGTGTTTGTGTCCATCGATGTGATGCACATTTGGTTACCTGCAGAATTAGAGTACTTTGATTGGAGTGCAATGCTTCAGTTGGGTATCTAGCCGCCCAAGTATAGATCTGATGGACAGAATATTCACTAATCTGTGCTGTTATTTCTATACTTCTCTGGAGTTTGCTGGCCGAAGCAGTACTCTTGGTAGAAAGGTGTCTGACTCCAGTGATGTTTATTTTACCTGCTCGTTGCAGACTTTTCGTTTGTCTCATGGACAGGTTCTGATGCTTGTGTGGAACTTGCGATGATTCTGAGCCAACCTCATGGTGGGACATGAGCTCACACACAGTCTAGGTGCAACGCTTAGTTGGGTGTAGGGGAGGGAATCACAGCACTGTCAGAGATGCTGTACTTAAGTGAGATATTAAATTAAATTGTCTGCTGTTTAGGTGGACTTCAAAGATTCCATGACAGTATTTGAAAAGAGAAGGACAATCCTCTTGTTATCCTGGACAACGACTCTCCAAATAAAGTGGTTATTCACCTCAAGGCTGTTTGTGGGACTTTACTGTGTTTGCCTACAAACACAATCGTTGCACAACTGCCTTGAGATGTGTTGACACTACCATATGCACTGTATCAAATGCATGGGATTGTTCTTGTCGTGTTGTGAATTAATGCCCTTTCAACACATTATACAATGACGTTTTCCTTTTGTATCAATTCAATACAGATTCCAGTTCATGTAATCCCCAGACTAACTGATTTAAGTGACAACTATTGATGAATTATTTCCTAACGACCAGATACTCGTTGTAAATCATAATTGTTTAAAAATAATACTCACTGTCCCACTTGCCTGACCGATCGACTATATTCCAGGGTGAAGTGTCATGCATAGAGTCTGTGAGAGTTATGAGGACACAAATGCCCTACCAGAAACAAAGCAGAATCTAGATTAATCTCTGAAAAAAGAAGCATTTATAAACATTTGGAGTGTGGGTAGGGGAGTAAAATTAAACAGATAGCTTAGCCGGAGAGCTGACAGAGGCACACAGTTTTGTGCTACAGTATTATTGTATTGTATCAAAGAACCATACAAATATACAACACAGCAGACGGTCATTGAGCCTATCGTACCTGTGCTGGCTCTTTTAAGAACAATCCTTTCAGTCCCATTTATTTGCTGTTTTCCCATATCCTGTAGTTTACAAATCAGTGTCCTGTTAGATGCTGGACAACATCAAACTGCACCATGCTCTTACTGGAAATGATCTTGTTAAAGCAGCTTCAATGAAATAATTTCAGCTGGCAAATTGTTCAGAGTGCAATTTTGATGTTGGTGCCTGTCTTCAAGCTATGTTACTATAGGAGAGATGCAACCCACTGTGTTTCAACCCTTTTTACAGAACGCATTGATTTCCAGTAGTTTATTATATTATGTATATTGTATTAAGATTATATGGATGAAAAAAATCACGTGTGATGTGGTAATTATCACATCGCCACATATTGCTCCCCTGAATTGGCCTTGCAAACACAGAGAAGCAAAGCGTGCTAAAAATATTAAGTAGGGCTGCCTTGGATGGTATTTATAAAGTGCCTGCAGAAGGGCAGATGGTAACGCTAGTTCAGAGCTTAAGTTTGGAGTTTTATTTGAAGGGGAACAGCTGCAGAGGAAGTGCATTAGGAGCATGCTGCACAAAAGCATTGGTGCAGTGGCATTGGTATTTTAGTAGACACAGGAAGACAATTGCAACCAACTAATGTGGTGACTACCTGCTTAGGGTGGAGGTCGGTGGGTATTGAGTCAATCCTCTATGTCAGTCTTAGTAGTTCAGTTCCCTGAGCCAGGCAGGGGCCCATAATACTCAAGGTACGGCTGATGACAGACCAGCCAGCTTGGACTTGGAGGGACAGACCCTCTTCACACTGAGAATTCAGACTGGGGCAGGGATTCTTCCCGGATTCGGCTCCTATTAGTTTTTCAAGACAAATCCTGATCCTATCTGGACAAAGAGCAGGACGCTTGCCAGGCAGTGTTTGCGATGGCAAGCTATTTGGTTTTTTTGTTAAACTCGAGTGACACTCCAACACACTGCAATCCATTGCAGGCATTTTCCATTTACAGGTGACATGCACATATGGTTTGGATACACTTGAGTACAATGATGGGTTTCTGCACGTGGCAAAAAAGACTGTTATTACCAATATAGGAGCATACTATCTGGGCCCTCCAAGTTTGTATTTAGTATGAACAATTTACCCATTTACGTTTAGATTATTACTAACGATGCCTATCACACAGCTTGTCTTTTTACTCCTTCTTTGACTTGCTGCCCCCCCTATCATACGTTAGTTAGCATGCTTCCCCTTCAGTTTCTGGGCCCTGGGTTTGAATGCGATTCAGGCTAAGATGAACAGTTCCCCTCAGCACTGGCCGAAGGGTGCTTTGTGCAATGTTAGTCTCTGTTAATCTCACTGTGTACTGAGTCACATCACAACATTAACCACATTTCACTCCAAAGCAGCACTACATTGGCAGCATAGGCAGTGAACATGTGTCAGCCATAGCTCAGTTGGTAGCAAACTTCCCTCTAGCTCAGACATTTGTAGGGTCAATCGCTACATCAGGACTTGTGCTCATAGTTCAGGGTGACACTTCAGTGCAGTACTGAGCCGAAGTGTGGACAGTGCTGTCCTTCTGACAATAATCTTCACACTTGATGCAGTATCCGTAAAATCAAAACATTTCACAGGTCATTTTGTTTGGCTGTTTGTGGGACGCTGCTGTGCACAATTGACTGTCGCGTTTCACCTACAAAATACAGTCAATTCACTTTACAGTATATCCTGTGAAGCGCTTTGAGACGTCTCGAAGACGCAATAAGGTGCTATATCGAATGCAAGGATTATTATTATTATTTGCTGTCAAGGGCAGTGACTTTGTATTTGTTGGCAAACGCAGCAGACGATTTGCACACAGCAATATCCCACAAACAGTCAGTCGTGAGGTGATTGATCAATCTGAAGTCTCCGCACTACTACAGTACTCCACACAACAGTCGGTGGTGAAGTAGTTAATTCACTCCAGTGGGATTTGTGATGCCATTATCTGTTTCTAATCCCAGCGAACTACATTCCTCTCTCTCTTTCTCTTTCTCAACAGCTTTGACGAGAATTCATCAAATGAAGGCGATGTTTGGAAGAGTCAATACACTTCTGATTTGAGAGGGTCGAACAGATCAACCTCCCACCCTGAACTCTGTGTTGTTGGTCAGGGGCTGCAGAAAGACTGATACCATCAGCGCCCAAGCCCCTGTTACTCTTGCGTCTTGTTTGCCAAGAACCAGGGCAGGACAAACCCAGCTTATCTGAATTCATAATAGCTCTGCAAAGTAATCCTTTAATGAGATGACCTACAAAAATATGATGTGCAAGGCATAATGAAACAGCTAAGATGAAATGAAAAGCATATTTTAATATATATACTGCGTATAGATTTTATATGCACAAGCTTTATTTTTTTTTCCAAATTGGTCCGGGTGAGAAAGTATGTTTTTCAAAGGTTATCCCATCCCCTCTACGGGAATTTCATGGGCACTGAATGGGAAGATAGGATTAAACTCTCCTGTCAGTCAGTCAAGCTCATCATCAGCAAATAAGAACAAAGGTCTGGCAGATATTTCGAGTTAAAAGCACAAAACAATCATCCTTGTGAGTGTGAAGTGCCAGAAAATGTAATGTAAGACTTGAGAAAACAGAGGTTTGAAATTAATTGAGGTAATTGTGTCTTAAAATGACCATCTTCAGGTCACGCTTGAAGACCTTCCTCTTCGACCGTGCCTACGGTCACCTTCCCCTTACCCCCCCCCCCCCCCCCCACTGTCAAGCGCTCTGAGACGCTATCCTGAGATCCTGAGTGAGGAGTGTTATATGTTGGTGCTAAAATACAAGATCACCTATAATTATGAAAAATTCTTAAATTCAGTCGTAATTTGCAGCAAACCAGATTCCAAATTAAGACTGCGTTTAAAAATATTGCGCAAACCTGAGCAAACTTAAATTGCAAGTCAAAATGATTTTACAAACTACAACTAGATGTTATTTCAGAAAATATTAAACATTCCTCATCGTGCTTGCCATAAAGCTATCAAGGAGTTAAATTAAAAGTAGACCCTGACATCTCCAAACTATCTCTGAGTCCCCATGGGGCTATTTCAATAGCTTGTCATTCATTTAGTTAACTTTCAATATATTAAACCCATTCCTTCTCCAATTGCTAAAATAACTCCACTATGGGAAGGCTGGAGGGTGGAATGGATGAGATGGGCAAAGTGCCTTCTTCACCCAAACCTCTTTCGTGATTTTGTGATAATGATTCCCTGCCTCATGCAGATGCCATCGTCAATTTTGCTGGACACAGTCAGTAATTGAAAGTGAGTGGCTCTGGGATGGCAATCCTCTGGAATGAGATTATTTTCTCTCAAGGACCACCTGCAGTGTCCATAGTGATGCTGTAACATTGCTTCAGGTACTATGCTATCTTTAAAATAATAGATTGTGACAGATCTTATCCCCCACGCAGCAAAATCTTGTCCTCCCATTGATCCCTGAAGAAAAAAAAACAGGTCTCCCCATGTAAGTAGGTCCTGGGTTTGAAACCCAGCTCTGCATTTAAGTCAGAGTGTCATATACGCCACAGCTGAGTTAGTGGACAATCTGACACTCTCATGAGGGAATAGGGTTAGTAGCTATTTCCACTGTTAAAGGGGAATCACTTGAGAATTTTAAGATAATTATTAGAAAAAAATTAAGGAACATTTTATAATAATAATAATTGCATTTGATATATTTTAGGATTTTTAAAAATATTTTTACACCTGGAGGGCAATTAGGACACGGAATAAAGCAATGGTTGAAGCAGAATCCGTAATAGTTTTTAAAAGGGAATTAGACTAATACAATATTTGAAAAGGAAAAGTATTGAAGGGAATGAGAGAAAAGGGCACTCACGTGGAGTATGAACACGAGCCGGGCAGGATAGGCCAAATGGCTGTTTCCGAGCTGTATCTGCTATGAATCTAATGCAGGGAAATGGGCCACGAAAATAACTCTTACATAGAGCCACTGCTGTAAAATTATATCATTCTAGGATTCGAAATTGGCAGAAATCGCCCGGATTTACATTTAGACAGGAATTAACTAAAGGCCACCTCACAAGATTATAAACCAAAGGTGAGGAAGGGTGAAATAGATTTTTTTTTGGAAAAAAAAACATTTTATTCCTGACAACCATTTGGAAAATCATTGGTATATGTGAAGTATGATTTGAGCGTAAACGTTTCAGATATTGGGAGTAGGGGGAAGGGGAGCAAATTCTGTATTTCAGGTCAATTATGCTAACTTTGAACAAATTTCATGAGTTGCCTGTAATTTACAATAATTCAAAGCCAATGCTGTAACCAAACATTAATGGATACATCGCTAAAAGTGCTCCAGTACCACATTCTGTACTGAAATGGCCCTTAAACTTAACTTGTATTAAATACTAGAACATGAGTGAATAGCTGCGAGTGGCCATGGATAAAATTCGCTAGGTTTTAAATGTTAATTGTAGATATATTTATCGAGTTACAATTAAAGTTGTTGCCTTTGATACCGGCACCAATTAAGTGAAATATGTTTTTTGCAAACAAGTATTAGATTGTCACACACCAAAATAATAAAATGGTTACTGTGTCCAGTCATTCGGGTCCTTTCACAGTTATTCTACTGTGAATCCTACAGATCCTACCCAAAACGATTAGTAAGTACACCAAAGACAAGGACATGACAAGCAAATATTAGCCTCACTGTTTTTAATAATCGATTCTTCATTCTGTCACTTGCAAAGGTAAAAGTAAAAGGATATTCGTTCAATTAGAGCCAGGACGGTTAGAAGTGAGATCAGAAAACATTTCTTCACACCGAGCATTGTGAACCTGTGCAATAGTAGACGCAAAACAATCAGAAGATGGATAGATTCTTGGACTATAAGGATACTGTATTCAGATATTTATGGCGGAAAGGCAGGAAAATAGGATTTACAAATCTGCTGGAATCTAATAAACTGACGGTTGATTAGGTGAATGGTCGATTCTAAGACATTTAGTTCCAGTGCCTTTTTTCTGTAAGTGTGTAAGGAATTTCTGAGTTGCACTCCTATGTAACCCAGTGCTCACAAATGAATAGATAGGATAGGACAGGGAGAGCATTTGATTATTTAAATCAAACCTGTGAGCAAGGTGATGAAAGGGACAATAGCATCCGGAAATGTCCTGGAAGATGCTTCTATGCTGCTGTGCCCATAGCTGCTGCCCAGCACTCCACTTTATAGTGATGCACATAGCTCATCTATGTCCGTAACCTCAGTGTTCCTCATTTGCTTGTGGTGCCAGGGGTCCCTGTGAGGGCTAAGGAAATCCAGTGCAGGGACACAGAGTACAGGAGCAACGGGCACTGAATACAAAGGCATTAAGAAGCCCTGCTAATTCTGTAATCAAATGAAAAGATTTTATCCAAGGTTTCAAGAAATCTTAGATATCTGAAGGCCTGATAGAGAGCAGAGTCGGACACACGGCGAGGTGTGTGAACCGAGCGAGTGGGAAAATCAGGCCCTCACTCTGTACACTGAGTAACAGAGGGGCATGTTTGATCCCCTGTTATAGATCAGAGAGGCATGTGGGTGTAAAACGGAGTCATGTTGAACTAGAAAAGCTCAGGTTCGTTCTCCTGTCTGTGCTATGTTAGCTGGTGTGGCAGCATGAGTGTGTGTGAGAAGTGTTTGCTATAGCTAAGTAAGAAAGGATGGTTATTCTTTGTGAATTTCCTTGAACTCCAGCACCAACTTTCTGGAGTTACAGTTTGAATGCTGTATTTTGCACACACAAGATGAATTACCTCAGCACAGCCCTAATAACTACATCATGTTAATGAGATTTTAATATTAATCTCTCCTCTCTAGAAAAAATGATTCAGGCTATATAAACTTCATATTGTGAATATATAAAGTGCATCATCTACAGAGAGAAAACCAGGCGAGGTTTCAGAATATGTTCCCTGGGGTAATTACTGTATCACATTTCGCCCACAAAATATGCAGTCAATTCGCGTTAATAATAATCCTTGCACTTGATAGAGCGCTTTTCATATCTTCTAGACGTCCTAAAGCGCTTCATAGAATATACTTTAAAGTGAATTGACTGTATATTTGTGGGCGAAATACGGCAGCCAATTGCGCACAGCAATGACCCCCAAACAGTTGTGGATTGAAGTGACCAATCTTATTATTGTTTTTTTTTCCTTCAGGGACTATTATCAGGTGTGTGGAGTAAGGAAATTTAGATACCTGCCGGGAATCAAAACCAGGTCTCGCACTTGTGAGGCGAGAGCTCTAACCACTGAGTTACAGGGACTCCCACCATATAGTATATTCTGTGAAGTGCTTTGAGAGAGTCTCGAAGACGTGATAAGGTGCTTATTATTATAAAACAACATAAACTCCACCCCCAACATATGTATATTTATGTTAAACATAAAACGTGAGTTGGCAGACGAAATAAGTCATCAACTGTTGCGTTACATATTTAAAAGAACTTTACGAACAATACGTGTATTTTTTGGGGAGTTCATGGATTTCCGCAGTGGCTGACATGATGCAGCCTTCGATCAAAGCTCCTTGGCTAGAAGGTCCAGCAGTGTTTTGGTGACGTGAGCTGGCTGGCTGGCAGCGTACTCCAGGAGGCTACCTCCCATCTGCTGGTGGAGGTTGCTGGCGAGCTTGCCCGTCACCGCTCGGACATTGCCGCCCCCACCTCTGATGACGCCACTTCCCATCATGTTGCTCAGCAGGTACCAGAGGGCGGGTAGGACGTGACGTTCAACAGCCTGAGGCTTACGCTGATACACCGCTGGGACCAGGCCTAGGGGAGGGGAGAAGAGGGAATCAGTTAGAGAGCTCGTCTACGCCCTGTGCCAGCATAATCGTGCCTTAGGCAAGTGACACTCCAGCCTTTTAGTCAGATATTTCAGGTCCATAAGATCATCACGTGGAGTCCTGTTGCTCGGTGGTTACAGCACTCGCCTCACAAGCAAGTGGACCTGGGTTCGATTCCAGGGCAGGGTGACACGTTGGGCAAGTTTCCTTCCTCCACCTGCCTCTGTTTACCTAGCAGTAAGTATGAACCCGGTTGTTAGTGGATTGGTGGATCCCTTTCCCGGGGCAATAATTCCTTCAAAAAAATAATAATGTGGTCACTCAATCCACGACTGTTTCTGGGATCACTTCTGTATGCAATTGGCTGCAGCGTTTTGCCCACAAAATACAGTCACTACACTTTACAGTATAATCTGTGACTCGTTTTAAACAACTCGAAGACATAAGGGATTAGCATTATTATTAAGCACAAAACCAATGAAGCGCAACCCAATTTCCACACAGCAATGTCCCACCGATAATAATGAAGTGAATGACCAATTGAACTGGTCAGATTGTTGACCAGGACACTGGGAGAAACTCCCTTTTCTCTTTTTGAATAATTATCACAAGATCTTTAACAGAGAGGTGGGAACTCAGTTGAACATCTCATCTGAAAGCCAAGACTTCAGAGTCAATCTAGTTGACGAGGCAGGGTTTATAAAACTCCTTATTTGATTTTGAATTAGTGGCATTGGAAGGCAAGTCACTCTCGGTGCTAAAGGAATTTAGTAACGGACTGCAGTTTACACAGTTCATCGATTGAATCAAACCATATTGATGGACGCAGAATGCCTCCTCATAACACGAGTGCAAGTGGCTGTTGTTGATCTCACCTGCCAGTCTCTCCGTGACATCCTGCAAGGCCTGGCCACTAACAAACTGCACTCTGCTCGCAAAGGGTTGAAGGAGCAGCAGGTTATCTTGAAAGAGAAAACAAAGAGTGGCTCATCACTGACGCAAGGAATGCACAACTACCAACCGCGATTAGGTCTCCCACGACACCACCTCTTAGGCTTAAGAACCAACATCTTAAAATTTAACATCACAAATGTTTGCACCACAAATGGACCCAATGGTTTACAGTATCTCTTCTCATGCTCCAGCCAATTGGAACCATTTCTAATCTGGTGTTAATGAGCCAGGCAGAGCCTCACCTACGTTACTGATCAGCCCGTCCAGCACCTGGACAGCCGCAGAGTAAATGGCTGCGTTCTTGGAGTTCAGGTTGTCGGCCACGATGGTGACGGTGGAATGAAGGACCCGGTGCAGGTTGTCCTTCAGCACCATGACCATGGTAGCCATGGACCTCAGTGCCAGCTGGTTCACCTTCTTATTGGAGTCCTGGAGCCGCGGGGTGAAGGCATCGAAAATCTGCCAACGTCAAAAGGCACAAAATACAAGCGGTCAGTGAGCTCAAGAAGGAAGGAAGGAAGGAAGGAAGGAAGGAGATGAAAGAACGAACAAAAGATGCATTTTTACATTGCGTCTCAAAGTGCTTCACAGGCAATTAATATCAAGTGTAGTAACAATAAACCTTATATTTGATGTAGCATATATGACATCAAAGTGTTTCACAATTAATTGGTTTTGTAGGCAAATATTTTGTGGGTAAGCGTGGCGGGCCTATTGAGAAGAGAAAGGTCCCACATAAACAGCCATGCACTGAATGGCTAATTGTCCTTAGAGGACTTGGGAGAAACTCGCTTCTCTTTCCCAAAAGTGGCAATGGGATCTTTAACATCCACAGGCAGACAAGACCTCAGTTTAGTGTCTCCACAAGAGTTACCATTGTCTTTCTTCACAACCACCATGCGTTTCCCCAGTGCTCACGTCCGTCTTCAACCCTGCCCCCAGGCAACGAAGTAGGAATTGAGCTTACGTTTACAAGGTTGGCGGTTACGAAGCCAGGGTTGGCCTCGCAGTGTTGCAGCAGCAGATTGATGCCTCGCATCCTCTCCTGAAAGTCCTTGGCACACAGCAGTTTGCTCAGCTCCTTCACCTGCTCCACTGATTCCATAATGCGGACAGTCGGCCTGCGAATCATCGGCTGCTTCTGTGCCATCGTGTCCGACTCCCCACTAGAGAGAAAGGACCATTTATAATAATTCTTGTATTTGATATAGCGCCTTATCACGTCTTCGAGACCTCTGAAAGCGCTTCACAGAATGTACTGTAAAACAAATTGACTGTATATTTTGTGGGCGAAACACAGCAGCCAATTGCGCACAGCAGTGTCCCACAAACAGCCGTGGATTGAGTGACCAATTTTTTTTAATGAAGGAATTATTATGGTAAATTTTGTGAAGTGCTTTGAGAAGAATCGAGACATGATGAGGCACTATATCAAATGTCAGGATTAAAATAACATCCAACCATCCTAATGCTTTTCACAGGTAATTACTGTCTAATGCAGTGACTGTGAATTTCTAGGCTAATGGAGGGTCCAGAACCTGATCCAAATCCAGGTTTAAAAACATATTCGCAATGCAATAGTTCAATGAGTACAAAACGTAACAATATATCTGAGAAGCTGGAAGTAGATTGAGGACTTCCAGTGAGCCAGCCCTGAAGCTTTGCTGATTACTGATAAGATTCCACATTAGCGACTCAGTTGCTGTTAGTGAACACACTGCAAACCACTTGCTTTTTCACCTCCAACACCCCCCCCCAATCATTATATCCGGCACGTTATAATTCACCTCACAACAGTGCAAATGTTTTCCTGAGAGTTTGAGGAGCTGTTGGCTCTGGACCTCCAATCCCTGGAAAGGACGAGATCCGAAGAAGCATCTCCCAGGCTCTAAATGAAGAGGAGAAAGAAAACACTCTTTAAAAATAAAAGACTTGAGCAATCACACTAAAACTAGATCATTTTGCACATCGCCTACGAATAAGGCAGCAGGAGAAGCCGGTATGAAGAACAGTTTTTTTACAGACACCAGGAAACACGATATCAGAAAGTGTGTTTGAGGCAAAGATAACGGACTTGTGTATGAAACAGCAATGTATGTACTCACATACAAACACACACAGAGAGCAGAGGATATGCTGCATCGCAATGAAATGGTTCATTTGGCCTTATTCTAACCCAACTCTGCTGAGACCAACAGTAGTTCAGACACGAGGGTCCTGGCTGAGATCAGTTCGAAGCACTCTGAGATGCCGCCAGGCGTGGAGGGCGCTATATAAATCCAAGATGATGTCATTGTGGCTAACGGCTCAGATTGAGGACCCAAACATGGGACATCCAGGGCCATATGGGTTAGTTCCACACCATCAATTCACCAAGTGAGCCATTGCGAGCAAGACCTTCAGACCTGCTACCTACGGAGCCTCCAATTCAACGAACATCTATATTTCACTGCCATACATGGATACCTCTCCCCAGCTCAAAGCCTGGCACCAATTAGTGCAGTAACAGCAAGGCACGTGGTAAATGGGAAGACTCACTCTCTGCTTAGCAGCTGTGATGACGTGTTGCAGATCGTGGGACAGAAGCAAGCGGCCCAAACATTGGTCGAATTCTGGATGAGACATGAGAACGTTCAGCATCTTCCGACCGTAAAACCTGACCAGGACAACGGGAAAGAGACATTAAACCAGGCAGACGTCAAACCCACAGGTACAGAGGAAGGCAACCGGCAGAGGTAGGATATAGGCAAGCTTCAGAGGTTACACTTCCCTTGCGATCCAGATCCCAATTTAAAAAGTACTTTAGCCAGAAGTGCTTCCAGCTGACCTTCAGTTCATTGACACATTCTCAGTGTAGTAATAATAATCCTTGCATTTCATATAGCATCTTATCACGTCTTTGAGACGCTTCACAGAATACACTGTAAAGTGAATTGACTGTATATTTTGTGGGCGAAAGACAGCAGCTAATTGCGCACAACAGCGTCCCACAAGCAGTCGTGGATGGAGTGACCGAATTATTATTTATTTGTTTATTAAATTATTTGAAGGGAGTATTACCCCCAGAAAAGCGATCCGCCAATCGACTAACATCTGGATTCCTACTTACTCTAATATCATTCCCCATTCTTAAACCAACTTCTGCAACCTCTCCACTAAGCCCCAAAACTCTGGAACACTCTTCCTATGTCCCTCCGTCTTGCCCCTTCCTTCCCCATCTTCAGGTCGCTCCTGAAGACCTTCACTTCGACTGTGCCTACGGTCACCTCCCCCGGCTCTGTGTCGTGCTCCGCCACTGTCAAGCACTCTGGGACGCTAACCTTCGTGAGGGGCGCTATATAAATGCAAGTTGTTGTTATATCTCAGTGAGCTGAATCCCATCACGCCACATATGTCAACGCCACTTTGGTTAGCGCTGCTGCAGAGACACACGGACCTGGTTTCCGAATTGCCATCCTGGGAAAACTTCCCCACGGCCCGGACTATCTGCTCTGTGCTCTCCTTCGGCCCCGACAGCACTCTCTCGGGCCCGAGGTGCTGCACAACACGGAGCAGATTCTCGGCAGCGCACTTCCGAACAATGCTATTTCGATGACTAGACAAGAAGAGAGGCAAAGAAAGTCATTGAACAGGCAACGCGTTCAGCCAACCAACGTTTAGCTCCAAGGAGGAGGACAAAACCAGAAAGAAGTTAGGCATCAGTCCTGAGAGAGAGATAGGGACCTGTCAATACCGAACCACCAACCCCACCATGTCGACCACAAGAGTGATCTGGATGAAGGAGGCCCATTTGATCTCATCTTCCAAAATACCACCCATGGAGGGACGGAGCTAGCGAGTGACTGGATGTGTTTTATGGCTTGGAACATCCTCCCGACATGAAAAGCGCTATATAAATGCAATTTATTGTTTCTTGTTGCTGTACATACAATTTCAGGACAGACCATCAAGAAATATTTCTTTACCCAGAGGGTAATTAATAACTGGAACAGGTTAACGGAAGGGTGGTTGGAGCCAGTTTGCAGGGACGCATTGAACAAATAGCTGTAATGGGGGGACGGTTTGGTGGGTATTTCAGAATCATGACACTTTTAGACGCGCTTTCAGTCACCAATCCCCGAAACTCTGGAATGCTTGTCCTCTCTCCCTCCGCCTTGCACCTACCTTCCCCATCTTCAGATCGGGTCTGAAGACCTTCCTCTTTGATTGTGCCTATGGTCACCTCTCCCCCCCACCCCCGCGTTGGTGTCGGGCTCCGACACTGTCAAGCGCTCTGGGACCCTACCCTGCGTGAGGGGGCGCTTATATAAATACAAGTTGTAGTTGTTGTGGTTGACATCACATGAGATGAAGGGCCTTCTTCACCCTCACCCCTCTCGTGATTACATGTTAAGAATTTCCCGCAATTCTGCGCCAACTTAAACGTTAAGAGATGATCTTTGCGGGCCAGAGGCCAGGTGTGATTTCAGTCCTTGGTACAAGGTGCGAGTGCCTTAGACGGACAACAATCCCGCCCTGCGCTGACCAACGCAACATGGTCGACGCTGCCTGTGTCGCTCACTTCACTCCTCCCGCCACCAGAGCAGCCAGAGCCCGCCAGGGGCTCACACTCTCTGCCATGACGGCCAGGGCCTTGCCCGCCTCCTCCCGGATGAACTCGTTGGAGTCGCCCGTCTTGTGGAGCAGGATTCGAGTCACTTCGTCCACCTCCTGGTCCAGGTTTCTCCTCAGGTGCGAGAAGAGGCCACTCAGAGACAGGATTGCCGAGCGAGCCACCTTGGAACGCAGATTGCTGACCTGGGGAGAAAGCACAGCGATGATTACCTGGGGTGGGGTGGGGGAGGGTGGAGGAGGGTGGGGGTGGGGGGGTCAAGGATTCATTCCCTTTCGATCCTGTTAACCATGCTTTTTCCTCTCTACACTCATCGTCTTACTCTCTCACTCCCCTCTCTGGACTCAAACCGGGCTCTTTTTTGCCACTTGGGAAGCTCCCCGTTGCTTGTGTAGGTAGGATTACTCCTAAACCCTAAGGGCTTTGGCTTGCAGGGTTAATAGGAACCAAGTGGGACGAATCCCTACCCGAATCCCTATCTCAAACAGGACTGACTCCTCAATCCACCGTCGATGCTGTTTCACAACGTGCAGAGACACAGTAACAAGAGGAAAGGGTGCCATTTGCCAACAAGATCATGAGCAATTTCAGCGCATCAATTACTTCACTCTGTGCTTATATTTCGAAATTTGCTACACTTAATGCCCCCTCCCTCCCTTCCAACCCACACACTCAGCTAAAATCTAGTGTGTATCCAGCCAGCCACACTCATTTTTAATTAACATTATTGATATAAATATCTTCAACCTATTGCATCCTCGGTACAATCACCTACAAACAAATTCACATGATCAAGAATCCTCTCTTCTCCCCCTACCCAAGAGCAGCCCTCAACCCCCAAACTCCCCCCCCTCACCTCCCGAGGCACTGATTTCAAACCCTCATTCCAACCCCTCGCCCCCATTCCCCCAACCACCTCCTTCTCAAGGGGCAAGTCTCACGCCTTTCAAGTCGGGAGGACGTCCAAAGGATAGGAGAAGCAAAGGAACTTGTGGTGTCAACATAAGTGCCAAACATTTACACTGTTGTGTCTATCATTGTATGAGATGAGACAAGAAACAAGGGAAATGCTAATGACAAAGTAATAATAATAATCCTTGCATTTGATATAGTGCTTTTTACACCCTTTTGATGTCTCAAAGCGCTTCACAGAATATACTGCAAAGTGAATTGATTGTATATTTGTGGGCGAAACGCGGCAGCCAATTACACACAGCAGCAACCCCACAAACAGTGGTGGATTGAGTGACTAGATTATTATTTTTTTGTTTGTTTTATTCTCCTTGAGGGATTATTATCAGTCGTGTGGAATAAGGAACTTGACCAAGGTTTTGTCCTGCCGGGAATCAAACCCAGGTCTCTCACTAACCACTGAGCTACAGGACTCCTCTTTATAAAGTGAGTGGGAGCCCGAGCGGGGAGGCAGACAGCACTTATTGACTGACGGGACTTGGAGTCTGGCAGAAGAGACTGCAACATGGAATTGAAGGTGGAGGCAGAATGAGTTATCACGTCTTCTAGACGTCTTCAAGCGCTTCACAGAATATACCATAAAGTGAATTGACTGTATATTTTGTGGGTAAAACGTCTACAATCGGCAGGGCCTGGGCATAGGAGAGACCTCTGAGAGTCTCAGTCATCGGCTGGGGTTAAATGTGCTGAGACAGGACAAGTCAATGGTGCCTCACCCACCTCCTTGGTCACCGCCAAGCAGACGTCGTGAAGCCTCGCCTGGAGAGTCTCGGAGTGAAACCGGGCCAGCCGTCGAACACTGCGCAGCCCTTTCTGCTTCATCTCCCTGAAAAGAGGCCACAAAATAGGGCATCAACACTCGCCATCGCTGCTTCACATCAGGCAACGGGCAACCGCCAAACATCCAACCACAACACGAACACAAGTTCACAAAAGCCTCATTAAGCTCAACCCTCCACCACTAGGATTAGAGATAAACGCAATACAATAATAACAACATTGACGTGCTGTCTCTAACATCGAGGGGACATCTCAAAACCCTGGTAAAAGTCCAAAATCGTCTCAAGGCTGAGGCTGTGAGAAATTTTGGACTTTGCGTGTATAAAAGAATAAAACTACGACAATCGTGTGAGAACAACTGCAAGTTACATACTCGATTTATTCTCTCTTTCTCTTCCACTCCATTTTCCCTCTATATTTATCGCCTTTCTCTCCTGCGCTCTTTTTCCACTTTACACTTATTGTCTTTTTCCTCTCTCATTCCATTCCCTCTCTCTACTCATCATCTGTCTCTCTCACCCTTGGTTCTCCCTCTCTCTCTTTATATATATACTTATTGCCTTTTCTTCACCCTGCTTCACAGTTCGGTGCTGTCTGTGAGTTGTTGGTTGTTAAATAATCAGGCTTCAAAAATCTGCAAAGCTTTCTGACCAGTCGCTGTTAGCCAGGAGTTTCAACGCCTCCGTCAATCCCTGTTCCTGGCGGGAGAAGGGCTTCATCTCCAGGGATTCCTCCTCATCCGAGTCCCTGTCCCTTCCGTTGGAATTCAGGGGAAATCCAGGTAAGGAATGAGCTGCAGAAAGGCAGGAGAATAATAATAATTATAATTCTCGAATTTGATATAGCGCATTATCACGTCTTCGAGACGTCTCAAAGCGTTTCTCAGAATATACTGTAAAGCGAATTGACTGGATACTTTGTGGACGAAAGACGGCAGCCAATTGTGCACAGCAGCGTCTCAGCAACAGTCGTGGATTGAGTGACCACATTTTTTTTTGAGGAGGGATTATTATCCCTGGAAATGCAATCCGCCAATTGACTGACAACTAGGTTCCTATTTACTGCTGGGGCGAACAGAGGCGCGTGGAGCAAGGAAACTTGTCCAACATTTCACCCTGCCCGGAATCGAACCCAGGTTGCGAGTTGATTGCTCTAACCACTAAGCTACAGGACTCCGTAGGGAGAATGGGGAGGTTACACTGTAACTGGGTTTACTGAATTGTCTTGGAGTCTCCAGGAATTAAAGGTTAGTCTCCACTGGTGCGAGAGCAACCCGGGAGAAACATTATAGGGAATTCTCAGGGCTTAGGGACATCATAGTGACTTTACAATCCTTTACAACACTACTATGAAGTCATTGCTGTCTCATTGCTGCCTCCTGGAATAATAATAATAACATCCCTCGTATTATCTCAAAACACTTCACAGAATACATACTGTAAATTGAATTTACTGTGTATTTTGTGGGCGAAACGCAGCAGCCAATTGCGCACAGCAGCGTCCAACAGTCATGGATTGAAGTGCCCAATTTTTTTTTAAGCAAGTATTACCCCCCAGAAAAGCGATCCGCCGATCAACTAATAATAATAATGATAATAATATAATCCTTGCATTTAATATAGCGCCTTATCACGTTGTTGAGATGTTTCAAAGCGCTTCACAGAAAATATGGTACGTCCACACAGAGTTGGGAGCCTATACTGGACAGACTTGGATGTCCCATACAGACATCGTAGTAACAATTGTGAAATGTATTCAATGGAGCAGAATCATTCTTAGGCAGTATTAACGAACGTCCTCCCGACATGAAAGGCGCTATACAAATGTAATTTGTTGTTGTTGTTATCTAACACTGTATTTTCCATTAAATCCATGAGGTGGGCTTCATGCCAACCACATCCGCACTCTTCCTCTCTCGTCCTCATCATTCCTTACCAGAAAAGTGCCGTGACTCATGGTACATTTGGCTGATGTTGGGGATGTTGGGCAGAGAAGTTCTGTTGATGCGTTGACGGAGCGAGGTGTCGTTACTGATCCGGCCCAGGTTGGGAGAGCGGGTTTCCTGAGTGCTCAACAACTCTTCATCTGGGTCACAAAAAAAAGCACAGAGACGTGGCAGGGTGCACGTGGCTTGGGTTGATTGGGGTGAAATTTGAAGCGATTCATAACCAATTGGATGTGATAAATTAGCTCTCTGCTAACACCTATCTGGTTAGCTCTCTGCTAACACACATCCTACGCTCTCACAATAATGAAATGCAATACTATACAAATTTACAATTATATAGCGTCTTGCACATCGGAAGGATGTCCCTAGGCGCTTAACAGCTCTGGATTGACACTGGAACTGGGGTTGAGAGCCAAACCTCATGCCAGGATAGAGTCTAAAACCCAATAATCAAACAACAGATATCTGTTAAATGTAACTTCCTTTTGCAATGACGGATATCATTTTGCTTTCTGGCACATTTTCCTTTATGTGCAAGAAACGACACAAATTTCCAGCTGTTCCAAAGTATTCTCGAGCAACAAACCCTCCTGACTTCCCACTTTAAGGATCTGAGACACTGCAGCATTATCGATAATAATTCATGTATTTGACATAGCGTCCAAAAACCCGGGTCCAAAACCCCCCGACTGTCCAGCTTCCTGGGACGTCTTTCTGACATGAAGGGCGCTATCCAAGTGCAAATTGTTGTTGTTGTCATAACATAAAATGTCATAACGTCTCAAAACACTTCACAGGTAATTGCTGTAAAGTGTAGTGACTGTGTATTTGTAGTGCAAACACAACAGTCAATTTGTGCACAGCCCGGTCCCACAAACAGTGAATAACCAATTTATCTGGACAACTGTTGACCAGGACACCAGGAGAAACTTCCTTCTCTATTTGAGTAGCATCACAGGATCTTACAATCTGAACAGACACGTGGTACCTCGGTATAACATCTCATCCGAAGGACCTGCACTCGAACCACGCTGTGCTCCCTCAGCACTGAAATTGAACATCAACTTAGACGATGAGCTCAAAGTCCCTAACCCATGACCTTCAAACCCAGAGGGGGCGATGAGTGCTACTGACTGAGCCAAACTGGCACCTAATGGACAGAGAGAGAGACATCTGATTTAGTTACATAGGAATTTGCTGGGGCGAAAGAAGACCAAGGTCCATCGAGGTCGCCTTCCACCATCCTGGCAGTCGCTTGACATATCGTGTCCCAAACTATGCACTGTACTCTGAGATATTTTCAGCGTATCAATTGTTGTCAGGTCAGCAATATGCACACCAGCCGTAGCTCACAAACAGCGATAGGTTGAATGCCCATTTCAGAAGGATTTTCAGTGAACTTGGTTTGAGGGAGGAATGTTTGCCAGGCTGTTGGCACTGCCCAGTCTGTGTGTATGTGTGTGTGTGTATGTGTGTGTGTGTGTGTGGTATGTGGCCAGTTACCTGGCAGAGAGACTGTATTCTGCATTCTCTCTCTCGGGGGCTGTGTCAGCTCGTTCCTGGTTTCCATTTGCAGCCGTCGCTGTTCCATCTCTTCACGTCGCTTCTGATGCATTTTATCCTGAGCTGACTTTGAGATGGTCACGTGGCATAGCTGCTGCAAACCAAATGGGGGCGGCGGAGGGTGGAGAGGGAAGGGAATAATGAGGCTTACGATATTACATCAAGAAAAAAAAAGCACAGTCAAAAGCAGTCAATATTATGATGATGCTCAGTGCCAGTCCCACTTACCCTCTTCTCGTTCTGCGTCTCATCGTCCTCCACTGAGCGGCGTCCGTTTGCTCCCCTGGTCAAGACTGCGCTGAACCTTGAGGGTACCAGTGTGCTGGCGCCTGGCGAGTTCTGCTCCTCGACTCGCTCCACTGGCAACTCTGCGGCCTCCAGGACACAGCCTCCTACTGAGCCAATGCACGGGACGTTACCTACAACCACACGCATTTACGTAGCGCCCTTCACATGGGGTAGCTTCAAAGTGGCGGAGTCTGACAAATAGCCAGGGCCTAAGGGAGGGGGGGTTGGGGGGGGCAGGTGACTGTAAGTACGATCATCTACACTCCAGATGCAAATAAAGTGCTCAAACTGGAAGTAATAATAATACTGCTTGCATTTGATACAGCGCCTATCAAGCCTTCGAGACGTCTCAAAGCGCTTCGCAGGAAACGCAGCGAGGTGGATTGACTGTGTATTTTGTGGATGAAAGGTGGCAGCCAGTTTTGAGACACGGTTTCAGTGGCAGCTCCCGTCGAACACAGCGGGACTCCTGGGGGGGGGGGTTGGGGAGCTCAACGCTCATCCCACCAACCCCGTGAGACCAGCTCCGAGGCGAGCTCGAGCTCAGAGCCGGGTTCTCAGCCATGTAACGCGAGGCTTCCCGACAGAAAACGGCGTCACTCGGCCTCTCGAGGGCTTTTCTCCAGCACGAGGTGAGATTTAAGCTGCCGTTCCCTCGGCGAGGACTCTGCCAGCCAACCACTTTGTCCAATTTTCACACACATACAGAAATGGAAACTTCTTAAACGCCTGCCAGTGAGCTAGGCCCGTGTGACACCAATTCGCGGGTTGAATAGAGTACGTCAGATCCCTTAGCAACCCTCTTTATAGAGCCAGTGCCACTCAGGGCTTGTTGTCAGCCCGGGGAAACAGGACAACCACATAACAAGTGCGTCCTGTGCTGTACTTCTATACAAAGACAGGAGGATAACCAACCCGGGCGTTCATTGCCACATTGCTATATATTTCACGAGGAAGGATTAGATTGAAAAAGGCTTTTTGAATATTTGATCTCTTGTTTTCTTGTGCTCCAGTGTGTACGTGGGGTGTGTTGTGTGTGTGGTGGTGTGTGTGTGTGTGTGATTAGTCTGTGATGCTAGGTTAATCCCATTCCTTTCAGTTCTTGTAGGTATTCCTAAGTAGTAATAAGTAGCGATAAGGCGCTATATCAAATGCAAGGATTATTTTATTGTTATTCTACTGTTCATTTTTGTGGAGTCCTGTAACTTAGCAGTTAGCTTAGCAAGCGAGAGGACCTGGTTTAGACTGTTTACTTAGCAATAAGTAGGAACCCGGCTGTTTAGTTGATTGGCAGATCACTTTTCCAGGGGCAATAGTCTCTTCCAAACAAAAATAAATTTTAAATAATAATAATAATTTGATCACTCAATCCACGACTGTTTGTGGGACGCTGCTGTGCGCAATTGGCTGCCGCGTTTCACCCACAATATACACAGTCAATTCACTTTACGGTATATTCCGTGAAGCACTTTGAGACGTCTCAAAGACGTGATAAGGCGCTATATCAGCTGCAAGGATAATTATTATTATTACATCCGCGAGATCGGGAGAAGGATTTTATGCCAGGACGGAAAAAGAGCCATATTTCCAGAAATGGGTCTTGGAAAGTTGAGGTATTGGGAAAGACTGATACTTTATTGCAGTACCTCCCTGGAAACCGCACAGAAGTGACAGTCACTTTCGCAAGGAAATAGACACAGCAAGGAAGGGGGAAAGAAATTCTTGCCTGTAACCCGAGCCTCTCTCTCTTCAGTGTGTTTGTGGGCAGCACGAGGGTTCCCTCCCGTCTCACGAGATGCCCTGAAAAAGAACCAAGATTTTTTTCGAGAAAAATAGGAACATAGTCCAATTCTATACATAGGGCCTAATAATTACCCTTGGCTGTTGGTGGGATCTTGATTTGCATAAGTCGGGCTGTATTCGCCTACAAAAAGAGTTACTGCACTTGATAGCGATTTTCTGTGAAGTGGTTTGAGGCATCTCGACCTACATCAAATGCAAGGATTATTATTAACCATGGGGAACGCACGAAGGGCAACTGTAACTCCACTGCTACTGTTAGGGCTGAGATCAGGGCAGAGTCGGGATCACCGTTGGGATCCGTAGAGTCGCACAGTTGGCATTTCCACAATCGATTTCAAGATGCTCGCACTCGTTTTCAAATCCCTTCCTGCCCTGGCACCTCCCTACCTCTCCGACCTGCTTACTCCCCAACTCACAACCTGCTGCTCCCACTCGACTGGCTCCGGCCTCCCGCTTGTCCCTCGTGCCCTCCGTTCCACCATCGGTGGCCGCACTTTACAGCCACTACGCCCCGAAACTCTGGAACACAATCCCTCAGCCTTGCCCCTTCCTCCCCATCTTCAGGTCATGCCTGAAGAGCTTCCTATTCGACCGTGCCTATGATCACATCCCCCCAGCTCGGTGTCGTGCTCAGCCACTGTCAAACGTTCTGGGACGCTACCCTGAATGAGGGGTTGTTGCTGTCCATTACCGTACGAGCTGAAGCATCTGTGTCACCGTCTGTTGCTCTCTGGCAGGCACTGAATGGATACTGTCCAATGCTGAGTTTGGAGATTTGGAAGTGGACTGAGATAAGCTGGCCCCCAGCAACTTCCGCTTCCTCTCAGCACTGCTGCGCAGGTGCAGAAGCGAGTTCCTTACCTGAAGAAGAAGGAATACAATATGTGTCTAGCAATGATCCAATGGGACTCGAACAGCACTCATCTCTAGGTTGTTGACTGACACCAACCCAGCTCAGTGGGTAAAGGCACTGCCTGGTGGATGTAATGATTCCTATCTGGTCACTCCTGGCTGGGAACAGCAGGAGAGCAAGAGATTCACCACTGGGTCTCATGGAGTTACAATATCAACAGCAAAATCTTTCACAAACTTTGTACACGGCTGCTTTTCGTTTCTACTCACTGGTATAGCCAATAAAGGCACCTCACTGAAGGACACACCATAGAGAGCTCTTCCCACTACTCATCACAGGCGCAGATGATGACTTTCACTGAATGGGCTGGGCTAGAATGACTATGAAGCAGTGCCCCTACCTCCTCTGGGATAGTTGCAGTTCCAATGGGCTTTGCTTCAGCTCCCTCCCCTGGGAGCCATAATCCTGGGCCTTCAGGCGCTCCATCGTTTTTGCTCTCAGAGGACTGCTCCTCACTGCTGACACCTCTGTTCCCTTGTGGGCTGGCACTCCGCTCGATGGGTGGGACGGGTCTGGGGGCATTTAGCAGCCGCTGTGTGGTGGATCGAGCCAGAGCAGGTTTCAGTGGAACAACAGTCTCCCCTGCACTTGGAAGAGAGCGACACAGTTACAACCAACAACAACTTGGATTTATACAGCACCTTTCATTGGGAGGGCATCCCAATGCGCCGGACAGTCAAGGGTTTGTTCGTGAGCAGGGGGTTGGATTCAAGAGGGGTGGGGGCCAAGGGTGTTAAGAGTGGGAAGTTGACCGAAGGCACGATCACAGAGAAAAGTCTTGAGACGGAACTTGAAGGAGGTGAGGGAAAGGGGTGAGGCAAAGGGATCTCCAGGATGGAGTTCCAGAGGGAGCGGGCAAGACCAGTACAAGCGAAGAAGCACCTTCGACCAATTTGATCTCAACTTTCCAGAATATCCACTCCTTGAGGCTTCCCATCTCGTAGCTTATTTGAATGTACTGTTCTGAGTTAACACTCTCTATCTCTTTTGGCGTCTGTGCCCGTTTGATGCATTTACAGTTAAAAAAAAATCAGAATTTTTCCACACTTTCAGAAACATGATTTTGGGAGTGAATGTTCTCTCGGGATAACAGACACTTCACATTCAATCTCCTTCAGCCTGACCTTTCCAGTGCTGAGGAGTGGGTGAAATGTATGTACAATGTCCCTCATACCGCTGGGTACGTTATAGAGCTTCAAGATGACACATGTGCCACAAACACCTCTTTGTAGAGGTCAGGTGGACACAGCAGCATTGATTTCTCTCTCCTCCCTCTAAAACCACGAAATAAAAAGAGTTGCAAATGCTTCAAACTGCCTCAGTTCAGCAACTCTCTGCTTGGCTCATTTGGGTAGCACTGTCACCTCAGGGGCAGAAGGTTGTGGGTTCAAGCCCCACGTCTCCAGGACTTTAAGCTCACAGTCCAGGCTGACACTACAAAGCAGTACTTGGGAAATGCTCCATTGACAGGTTGCACGGTTGCACAGTGGAATAATGCTGAGTTTGCTTCAAAAAGCATCACTACTTGACACTTTGACGCATTAAATAATCGCAATAATAAGACTTGTATTGGATATATTGCATTATCACGTCGTTCAGACGTCTGAACGTGCTTCACAGAATATACTATAAAGTAGATTGACTGTAATTTGTGGGCGAAACGCAGCAGCCAATTGATGTCACGAGAAAGCAAAGCGATTTCTCAAAAATAGCAGCCAGCTGGAGGTTTAACGCATGGCTTCCCTCCCGACTTCCTCTCTAACGCGTGTCCTCTGGTGCTTAACCCTCATCAACATTGCAAACAATTTGCCAGCTCTCAGCACAATCTTCGGTCAGTGGAAAACCAACCCACCCACCCGCCGAGGCATTCCATTCCCTGCATTACATGGTAGGAGCAAAGCCCACACCCCCACATCTTTGTGATTGATGTTGCTGTGGGATGCATTGAAATCTCAGCTTGGTTTGGATACTCTTAAGCATGGTGATGGATTTTCGCACGTGGAGCTTAGTAGTTAGAGCGCTTGCCTTGCAAGCAAGAGACCTGGGTTCGATTCCCAGGCAGAGTGAAACATTGGGCAAGTTGCCTTACTCCACACGCCTTTGTTTAGTTAGCAGTAGGTAGGAACCCGGTTGATAGTCGATTGGCGGATCGCTTTTCCGGGGATAATATACCCCTAAAAAAAAAATAATTTGGGCACTTTAATCTGCAAGAAGACTGCCATGGCCCAGGGCAGCATTGTCACCGAGATGCCCACTAGGCATCTCTGGAACCCACCTCCCCATCCCCAGTTTCCCCCAGAAAACACGACCAAACAAGAGCTCTGCACTGGCAGTGATCACAGGTCCCTTCAGCCGTCCGCTACACGCTGCCAGCATGGACTCCAGCCAGGCGCCTGGTCACTGGAGCACTGCAGCCCTGCCGCCTGGTCCAAGTTATTCTCATTGAAGCCATTGTGATCGTCTCAGAACAAAGAGAGAGAGGCCATTGTGTGGCTGAACAAAGGGGAAAATCACAGCTGGAACCGAGCAGGTCCTGTTCCTTCCACATGCAAGATGGCTCAGTGCTGCCTGGGTTTGTGGTCGCGAGAGGGAGAGAAACCCAAGGCACCCACACCTCGCACTTCTACTCTGCCTGTCTTTACGGGGATTTCAACACAAGTCCCTCTGGTCTGGGCGTGATTCTAGACAAGGGGTCTGTGTAGAAAAGAGCACGACAGCTGGATATTTGGCAACGTGCTATGTATTCTCAGTACTTGACAGTAGTTATTGACACACATGGAAACCCATCACCCTGCTTAAGAGTATCCAAACCAGACTGAGAATTTCATATATGCCACCTGCGCACCTATGACAATTTTGCCATATCCATAATGGAATGCACACTCTCCCCCTGGAGGGATGCACCATGTTTACCTATTTCCGGAGAGTATTAATAATAACAATAATAATCCCTGGATTTGGTGTCCGCTTTTTACACCAGAAGGACATCTCAAAGCGCTTCACAGCATTTTTACTGCAAAGTTTAGTCACCGTGTATTTTGTAGGCGAAGACGCAGGTTGGTGAGAGCCAAGGCTTGGGGACCCATGAGTGTGGGTTGGGTACTGCTAGAGTTGAAAAGCTGGCTATCGTGAGCACTGTCTGGCAAGCTTTCCTGGCTGTTTCTCCAGCTAGGTCCACCCAACCCATGAGAGACAGAGAGAGAGAGAGAGAGAGACACAGAGACAGAGAGTGAGACGGAGTAAGGAACAAAGAGAGTGACAGATTGAGGAAGGAGCGATTGAGAGTAAGATTTGTGCGTGAGCTTAAGTTACAGATTTGATGGTACTGACCCCTCCGTGGCAGGTTTTCTGACATTTGTCTCTTGAGTTTATTTTTGAGTTGAAGGGTCTCGAGAAAAGGCTCCTTCACTTCTCCCTGGCTCCAGTCCAGGCTCAGGCTGTAGCCGCGTGTGTGGGAGGGAGACTTGGGTCCATCTCCGTCCAACAAACGATAGAGGTCGCTCCTCTCCAACACCCAACCTCCCGTCCCCTCTCCACTTCGCACAAAGCAGGTTTTCTTCAGCGGAGGATTCACACTAGAGTGAAGAAATGCTACAAGAGAAGGAGAGTAGTGGTTCAGCTTTACATTAATAATAATCCTTGCATTTGATATAGCCCATTATTACGCCTTCAAGACATCTCAACGCGATTCACAGAATATACTGTGAAGTGAATCGACTGCATATTTTGTGGGAGCTACACAACAGCCAATTGCGCACAGCAGTGTCCCACAAACAGTCGTGGATTGAGGACCAAATTATTATTATTATTTAAAATTGATTTTTTCAAGGGATTATTAGCGGCGGAAAAGCAATCCGCCGATCGACTAACAACCGGGTTCCTACTTACTGCTAGATAAACAGAGGCGTGTGTGTGGAATAAGGAAACTTGCCCAACGTTTCACCCTGCCGGGGAATCAAACCCAGTTGTTCTCGCTGGTGAGGCGAGTGCTCTATACGGTCAACTCACTTGATAGTATATTCTGTGAAGCGCTTTGAGAAGTCTCAATGAGATGATAAGGTGCTACAAATGCAAGGATTATTTTATATTTATATCACACTGGGGGAACCCCACCACCCACACCCAAACACCCACGCACACACACACACACAGATCTCTCTGTAAGAGGAAACACTGTAGATCAAGTCCCTTTTTCTTAAAGAATTTTACAGCACCCAATAAGCTCAGCAGTCCTTTCTGCTAACTATTCCTTGTCGAGGTTTGGGCAATGATCTTAAACTTATACCTTCTAGTTGTCATCTAACTGACAGATAGAAACAGTTTCTCCCCATTCGCCTTGTCAAAATCCCTTCACATAGACACTGACCCCTTTCAGACTCACTCCACATACCACACTGATCCCTCTCAGAACACTGGCCACTCTCAGACTCATCCGCAATCACGCTCAATTTCACAAGAGGATTTTAAAGCCTCAAAGTAGCACAAATTGTTTCGGTGCTTTCAGCTGACAGTAACAATGCACTGAGTGAGATTCCTCGTAAATAATTGGATGTCATCAGTTTGCAACCAGCAGAAGGAAACTTTCACCCCATCGCCCTGAGCTGAATCCAGGCTGGGGTCGAGCTCAGGACCCAAAGGGTTGTCAAGAGGCAGTGAGCTAAAGCTCTGCACGACAGCTATTTCTCAGTGTCACACCTTTATCCCGCGATGCCCATCCGTTGGCTTGTAAATGCAGATTAGAATCCACACTCTTGCTGTGCACAGGCTTGAATCCTGGATCAGGTCCACAGTATACACTTACCGGAGCCCTGTAGTTAACTGGGTTAGGAGAATAGGCAGAGGAAAAAAAAGTGGCAGTGAAAATGGGATAGTAAAATGTCAAAGTATTTCTCAATTGTACCAAGAGCAGACCAGAGCTACAATAGGATAATAATAATAATAATAATCATCTTTTCATTTGATATAGCACCTTATTACATCATTGAGACGTCTCAAAGCGCTTCAAAAAATATACTGTAAAGTGAATCGACTGTGTATTTGGTGAGCGAAACGAGGCAGCTAATCCCAAAACGGCCACACACAGTTTTTGCACAGGGTCCATACAAACAGCCATAAAGGGAATCACTAATTTACCTGGTGGATTCTTCAATAGCATCAGCGAATCTTTAGATCTTTGACAGATTGTCCCGCATTTGAAATCTCATTCAAATGATAGCAACTCAGCAAATGAAGCGCTCCCCCCAACACTGCACTGGAGTGTCAGCTTTCACCTTGGTTTCCAGAAACAACTGCTTTGGGGGATACCCATAGAAGGAAACCGATTGCAGTGGTGGGGGTTTGGGGGGACAACTAGAGGGAGAGAGGATGGGGGGAGATACAAAAGGATGATGGTGAAAGGGAACCTTTGCTAAGGATTACGTTTTTTGGGTGAATGCGGACCAGGAAGTACCATTTACTATTTAATGTAAGGGATTATTGGTGCGGATTAGGGTTTACTCCAATCAGTGAGCACTTTCTTACCTCCTGTGATTTCCCCACCGGGGTCCATGACCTGTCGTCTGCTGTCACCGTTCTCAATGGTTGGATGATTCTGGACCTCACTGTGCCACTGCTCTGAGGTTGTCTCCTCTCCAAACACATCAGAAGACTTGGGAGATGGGAGGACGGACACATGAGTAGAGAATAACACGAAAACAAGAAAAGACCTTGTGGTTCATCAGGTCCACTTTGCTCCACATGCCCGGTTGGACGTAAGGGGCTGACAGCTGTTGCTATTGCAAAGATATGTGTAGTGTGCTTTAGCAACATCCGATCCAATCATCCCCCCACTCAGTCTCTTCCTCTCTCTTCCCATCACCCAAGTCCTCAGTGCTGAGAAAGCTTGGGATGTGAAAGGAGAACTCCAACCAGCAGCCTCCTATGTTAATAATAATAATAATCCTGGCATTGACATAGCACCTTATCACATCTTCGGTGCGTCTCAAAGCGCTTCACAGAATATACTGTAAAGTGAATTGACTGAATATTTTGTTGTTGATTTCGTAATCTGCCAATTGACTGTCAACCGGGTTCCTACTTGCTGCGAGGAAAACAGAGGCGTGTGGAGTAAGGAAACTTGCCTAATGTTTCGCCCTGCCCGGGAATCGAACCCAGGTCCTCTCCCTTGCGAGGCTTTAACCGCTAAGCTACAGCACTACCTACGTTGGCACAAAGTGTCAGCTCCCCATGTGCAGTATCAACTTGCTGTCTGGCCCATGACATTTCCTGGATAAATGACCATCTGATGGTTCAGTGTGGGGTAGCATTACCGAATATTTACTGCCCATTGTGGTGTGTGAGCGCAGAGGTGAAATGCCTCTCCCAGTAATTATTACTGTCCCTCATTGTACTAATACTGGCACTGAGCCCAGGCCTGTAGTGAACTGTAAAATCATAAAACGTTTCAGATTGGAAATCAAGCGCTGGGGCTTGAGTAGAGCCGTTGTCACAGAGGCTGCAACGGAGCAGATTTTAAACAGCTCAATATACACGATCAGCATCATTCTCATCTCTGTTTCAGAAAATTGTAGTTCAAGCACATCGGCACTGTAAGCTCACAAGTTCGAGGTTGACACTCCAGTACAGTGCAAGGGAGGAAAGGGGGAACACTGCATTTTCAGAGGTGCTGCCTTTCGAACGAGACATTTAACAGAGTTTTGCGGGACCTTGCTGTGCACAGAATGTGCATTGAGCTACAAATGTATAGTCAACTACACTTAATAATAATCCTTGCTTTTGATATAGAGCCTTATCGCGGGTCTTCGAGACGTCTCAAAGCGATTCACCGAATATAGTGTGAAGTGAATTGACTGTTATTTTGCGGGCGAAACGCGGCAGCCAATTGCGCACGGCAGATTTGACAGCGATCCCTGCTTTCAGACATAAACGCTGAACCAAATGCAAACCAAAGCGCTGAGTGGAATTCTATCGAGTCGACCAAGCTCATCTGGGAATGTGCGGGATTCAATACTTACAAAGGGGTGACAGCGATAATAACTTGCAATTACCTAACGACTCTCATGTAAAAATAGACTGCTCCAAGCAGTTTATAATATATAATCGATCAAAAACAGAGGGAATAAGAACATAAGGATTTGCTGGCGAGAGAAGACCAAGGTCTATCCAGTTTGCCTTCCACCATCCTGGCAGTCGCTGACATGTCGTGACCCAAACTATATATTGTATCCCGAGATATTACTCTCTAACAGAAATCGATCTAATTTGTTCTTGAAACAATCTGCACTCTCTGCTTCCACCGTCTCTTATTGTTACAATAGTTATTAATAATTGAACGTTGTTACACAGGCAAACCTGGCAGCCAAGTCTGTGCCAGAAACATCCCGGGAACAATGGGATGAGCAGACAACTCATTAGAAGGTTTGAGAGTAAATTTGGATCAGGAGGGGAATATAAACCAGGGGAGAAGGGTGGATAGCTCCTCATATCTTTGAAATAGCACTGGCAGAGGACTCCAAAGGCATGGGTTCGATTCCCAGGCTGGGGGAAACACTGGCCAAGTTTCCTTACTCCACACGCCTCTGTTTACCTTGCAGGAAGTAGGAACCCGGTTGTTAGTCGATTGACGAATCGATTCTCTGGGGGTAATAATCCCTTCACAACATTTTTTTAAAACAATCATAATTAGGTCACTCAATCCACGACCGTTTGTAGGACACTGCTGTGCGTAATTGCCGCGTTTCGTCCACAAACTATACAGTCAATTCGCTTGCGGTGGATCCCGTGAAGCGCTTTGAGACGTCTCGAAGAACGCGATGAGGCGCTGTACCAAACAAGGTGCAAGGACTATGTAGGCCATGTGGTAGCCTGTGCTCCCAAACACTCCCAAACACTTTTGACGGTTCAATGGCTGAACGGATGAGGACGGTGCTTCCTGCCTCTGTGGCTTCCCAGGTTGCTGTGTAGCAGAGAGAGAGAGAGAGAGTGTGGAGCAGCCCTGATCGGTGATCTCAAGCTTAGCTGCACCTTCTGACCACAAGTGATGAAACAAATCATGGTTTACGGCCTGTCAGAACCAGACTTGACGACTCGTTCATTTCCAGGGCCCGAATAAATCCGTACTTTACACACCAAAAGCTCACGTCACTTAATTTTTTTTTAAACTGCATTGGAAATGTTTCCTTACAAGGAGTTATTTTCTGGGGGTTTCTTTGTTCGATCCTTAAGCACGTTCGTGGAGGCACAAATATCCCTGCGCGCGCACGATTCGGGTGTCTTTGTGATGCGCAGCTACTTCGCATCGTGCATGGGTGCGTGTACGCGTTCCTCGTCAAGTACGTGGACGCATTTACGCACACGTCCATGGATGTAGCAGCTACGTATATTAATATGTGAATGACTCTGCCCACACTGTGAACCATTCCCACGTGTGGAGCAATGTATCTGCGCAGTAGACACTTGTCCCACTACAGCTGGTGCAGACTGAAATCATTATCTTGCTTATTTTTAAATACACAACGTGTTATCGCCTGTTAAATACATCGTCAAGTACAAAAAAAAAGAGCTTGTGTTTTATTAACAGCTTGTCACATCTCCACGGCCACAAGCACTTCACGAGCAATCACCGCCAAGCGAAGCCACTGTTTTTTTTCCCCCCACAAACATTTCAGCAATTTTGCACAACCCCATGTACAACAACCCCCAAATGAAATTGGTTTCTCACTCCATGGCTGTTTGTGGGACGCTGCTGAGCGCAAAACGGTCCATCCACTTTACATTACAGTATGTCCTGTGAAGCGCTTTGAGATGTCCTGACAAGCGCAAGGAATATTTATTAGTATCTGTTTACAGCCCAATCATTGACTGGTTGGAATTCAAACTGACCTCTCCGATTCGCTTGCTCCCGGATCGCTCCTCCGGGGGTGGCTTCCAAACCCGGCCTCTCTCACACCCGGAGTTCAACCATGTCGCTAACAGGACAGGGGCAGGATGTGTGCACGAACCTGCTCACATTGGCTGCCGTGCTCGCAAGCACAGAGGGCACTTGTTAACCCAGGTGGTCAGCAAAAGGTAAAGTAAACAGGAACGACTGCAGAGCACACAGCGTCGCATAGCAACCGCGAGTCAATGAAGGCTCCAAGAATGCCGTTGGGATTAGGCATAAAAGGATGACGGGGCTCGTAATTATTTAACAAAGAGAGTTAACAGTCTGTGTACCTGATCACCGCTGAGCTACACTGATAAGGTCACCCTTTGTTCCACTAGCATTTAAGCGCTCTAGGACGCTGTGTGAGGATGCTATATAAACGCAAGTTGTTGTTGAGATGGTTTCACACACACACAGATATATATGACTATTGACTGTCGTCCAGGTGGTAGAGGGGTGGGGTGGGGGTGGTAGAGTCAAGCAGGATCTCCTTTTAGCTGAGCTGCCTGCAAGATGACGTGACATAATGGGATGTCGGGGTCTAATCAACCCTCTGTTGTGGTCTCTGGGACTCTCAGGCTACTTCTGATGAGCTTGGCTCACCGTCAGGACTTGGAGGGACAGATTGATCAACTCCAGGAACACCACAACAACAACAAAAAGATTCCATTTATATAGGATTCCATTGTGGAGTCCTGTAGCTCAGTGGTTAGAGCACTCGCTTTGCAAGCGAGAGACCTGAGTTCAATTCCAGGCAGAGGGCGAAACCTTGGCAAGTTTCCTTATTCCACACAGAGCCTAATAATAATCCCTCCAAAACAAAACAATAATAAATTGGTCATTTTCAATCCACGACTGTTTGTGGGACATTGCTGTGCGCAATTGGCTGCCGCGTTCGCCCACAAATATACAGTCAATTCACTTTACAGTATATTCTGTGAAGCGCTTTGGGACGTCCTTCCGATGTGAAAAGCGCTATATCAAATGCAAGGATTATTATTATTATAGAGCGCCTTTCACGTCGGGAGGACGTGCCAAGGCGCTGGACAGTTGGGTCAGGACAACACACTCTCTGGGGTCCCTCAAGCCTTGGCTCTCGCCATCCCACGCCTAATATCTGAATTTCAGCTACCAGAGGGCGTCCCTCTGGCGAGAGAGAGTTCGCATTCAATTCCAGACATGGGAAAATTTCTATGTGTGGCTGGTACACATGGAACTCTCAGTCTGGTTTGGATGAATTTCTGCATGTATCAGATGCTCGACTGACCCAAAAAAGCAACTATACTCACAAATAAACAGCCCTCCCCACACTTACAGGCAGAGCCACCCCTGTCCCATAAAGGACACAAGCCTACACTCTCCCACACCCACCCATCCACCCACACGCACCTGCTCCACAAAGGTAGCAATTGGGAGATCTTCTCTACTGCGGACTTTGGGGGAAAGTCAACAAACCCTCTCAAGGTAGTAATAATAATAAATTGGTCATTTTAATCCACGACTGTTTGTGGGACACTGCTGTGCGCAATTGGCTGCCGCGTTTCACCCACAAATAAACAGTCAATTCACTTTACCGCCTATTCTGTGAAGCGTTTTGAGACGTCGAGAGGACATGAAAAGCGCTATATCAAATGCAAGGATTATTATTAGTCAGAGCAAGTGCTGGAAATTTACTGCCAGTGATTAAACGTGGTCCTCAGGGCAGTCTCCCCAGGCCGGTCGGCAGTCACTTATTGGAAATTGCTTTTGACCAAAACGCCATTCATTAACCAGCTGAGAGCAGTCACTCACCCAGATAACGGCAGTCTGGCTGCCAATACAACAGGCTCAGTGGGAGGCTTTGCATTGAGTTACACAGGAATTTGTTTCACATATTTTCCCCCCACCCACACCCCGCCCCACACACACTTAAACACACCAACGCAAAGTGGAGTTACTGCATTGTAGAAATATGCCCATCATAGATTGCTAAGTACGTCATTCCAGTTCTGAACCATGTTTATTAACAATGAATGACTGACCCCTTCTCCTCACAACCCCTGCAATTCATCTCCTCTTTTCTCCGCGAGGATACGAGTGCACGTTCCCACCAAAGCTATCAGCCTGATCCCAATGGCCATTTTCTGTGCAGACCTGGACACGAGTGTCAGTCAGATACTTAGCCTCAAAGGGCAATGATTACCCCTCCGCACATACAGGCAGTACCACCACCTGTCCCACAACAGACACAACCCTACACTCTCCTACACATAAGTGCTCTGGAACACTACCCTGCGTGAGGAGTGCTATAAAAAATGCAAATTATTGTTGCCATTGGGTGGAAACCAGGCCTGATCCTAACCTTGGATATCAGGATCAGTTTGGCTCAAACAGCCTCCTGACATTTATTATAAAAGCTCCCACATGAACGATAGTGACATGGGCTGGATACCACAACAACAACAAGATTCCATTTATTGAGCGCCTTTCACGTCGGGAGGACGTCCCAAGGCGCTGTACAGTTGGGTCAGGACCCGAGCATTGGGGGAAATGGTCAGGGTGAGGGGAGGGAAGGGAGGGAGCGAGGAGGGGGGGAAATGGTCAGGGTGGGGGGAGGGAAGGGAGGGGGCGAGGAGGGGGTAGAGAGTCGAGAGGGGAGCTGAAGGCTCGGTCAAAGAGAAAGGTCTTGAGACCGGCCTTGAAGGAGGAAAGGGAGGAGGCGGCGAAGGCACTGGGGGATAGAGTTCCAGAGCCTCGGGGCTGAGAGGCTGAAGGCCCGGCCACCGATGGTAGGGCGGTTGGGGCGGGGGATGTAGAGCAGACCGGAGCCAGAGGAACGGAGGGTACGGGCAGGAAGGTAGGGGGATAGTAGGTCGGAGAGGTAGGAGGGAGCGAGGCCGTGAAAGGCCTTGTAGGTAAGGATGAGGATCTTGAATTCGATCCTCTGGGGGATGGGGAGCCAGTGGAGGCGAGCGAGGGTGGGAGTGATGTGGTCGCGGTGTCTGGTGCGGGACAGTACACGAGCTGCAGAGTTCTGAATGACCTGCAGTGTGGAGGGAGGGCCGGGAAGGCCGGCGAGGAGAGAGTCCCATAGTCCAGCCTTGAGGTGATAAAGGCGTGGACCAGGGTTTCAGCAGTGTGAGGGGTGAGGTAGTGCCGTAGTCTGGCGACATTCCGGAAGTGATGGAAGGCGGTGCCAGTTGTGGTGCGGATGTGAGGGAGAAAGGACAGCTCAGGGTCGAACAGAACCCGAGGTTCCTGACGGCTTTGAGAGGTGGAGAGTGCAGCCTTGGATGCTGATACTGTCAGCGCCTGAGGTGCGGAGGCGCTGACGTGAGCCAATCAGGAGGGTCTCATTTTTGCGCACGTTGAGCTGAAGAAAGTTATCTCTCGTCCAGGACTCGATGTCGGACAGACAGCTGTCAGGACATCGGTGGTCGTGGAGTTGAGGGTAGAGGAGGAAAGGTAGAGTTGGGTGTCATCCGCATACATGTGGAAGTTAACCCCATGTCTGCGGATGATGTCACCGAGGGGGAGCATATAGAGGGTGAAGAGGAGGGGACCGAGGACAGAGCCTTGAGGGACACCACACGAGACAGTGCGGGGGCTGGAGGAAAAAACATTTGTGGAGACAAAGTGAAGACGTTGGGAGAGGTACGACCTAAACCACTCAAGGACAGGGCCTTGAAGGTTGAGGTGGGAGGACAAGCGGTGGAGTAGGATAGCGTGGTCGACCATATCGAATGCTGCCGATAGGTCGAGGAGGACGAGGAGGCAGAGGGAGCCCTGGTCACAGATGGTCAGGATGTCATTGGTGACCTTGACCAGGGCGGTTTCTGTGCTATGGGCAGCACGGAAACCCGACTGAAGGGGTTCGAATAGTGAGTGGTTGGAGACGAAAGAGCGCAGCTGGGAGGCGACAACTCGTTCCAGGACCTTGGACAGGAAGGGGAGGTTGGAGACCTCATCATCCTGGGCGACTTCAACCTGCACTTCACCCCCTCCTGCTCCATCTCCTCGGACTTCTCTTCCCTGCTCTCCTCGCTCAACCTCTCCCTCCACATCAACTCCACCACTCACAGTCACGGCCACCCACTCGACTTGGTGATCACCCGGGGCCTCAGTGTCTTGGATGTCAGGATTACCGACAAGGCCGTCTCCGATCACCACTTCATCTCCTTCACCACCTCCACCCCCCTCCCCACCTCCATCAGACCCACCACCATCTTCTACCGCCCCTGGAAGAAGTTACCCCCACAATCCCTAACCGCTGCCTTGGAGTCCTCTGAACTCCTCTCCTTCTAGACTTCAACCCTAACTGACCCCCTCTTCTCCTCTCACCCTCCTCCACAACACCCTCTCCTCCACACCTCCCGTACTGTCTCCTACTTTCGCTCCTCCCCCTGGTTCACCGCCCACCTCCGCTCACTGAAGAGCCAGGTGCGGGCCGCTGAACGCACCTGCCTCAAATCTGGCCTAACAGTCCACCGACAAATCTGGCTGGACCTCCTCAAAATCTACCGCTCCACTCTAGCCTCGGCCAAGTCGTCCTTCTACTCCAGGATAATCCTGGAGGCAAAGAACAACCCCAGGCTTCTGTTCTCTACCACATCCCGACTCCTCCGTCCCCCCGCCACCCCGCGCAGGTCATCTCCTCCAACCTTCACTGTGAGGAGATGCTGGATTTCTTTGAATCCAAAATCAAGGGAATCCGCTCCGCGGTCACACCCCCTCCAACTTCCACCCACCCCCCCACCCCTCCCTCCCACAATCCGACTCCTACCCATCCTCCCCTACACACCTTCGAACCCGTTTCCCCACCCTCTGTCACCAACCTCATCCTATCCCTGAAACCCACCACCTGCTCACTTGACCCCATCCCTACTCCACTCCTTATCTCTCAGCTCCACCTCCTTGCCCCACTTCTCACAGACATCATCAACCTGTCCCTCTCCTCTGGCTCTGTTCCCATTCCCCTAAAAACTGCCACCATCACTCCCACCTTGAAAAAACCATGCGTCGCAGCTATCAAGCTACCGGCCCATCTCCAACCTCCCCTTCCTGTCCAAGGTCCTTGAACGAGTTGTCGCCTCCCAGCCTCGCTCTTTCCTCTCCACCCATGCATTATTCAAACCCCTTCAGTCGTGTTTCCGTGCTGCCCATAGCACAGGCACTGCCCTGGTCAAGGTCACCAATGACATCCTGACCATCTGCGACCAGGGCTCCCTCTGCCTCCTCGACCTATCGGCAGCATTCGATACGGTCAACCACGCTATCCTCCTTCACCGCTTGTCCTCCCACCTCAACCTTCAACGCTCTGTCCTTGAGTGGTTTAGGTCATACCTCTCCCAACGTCTTCATTTTGTTTCCACAAATGGCTTCTCCTCCACCCCCCGCACTGTCTCGTGTGGTGTCCCTCAGGGCTCTGTCCTCGGTCCCCTCCTCTTCACCCTCTATATGCTCCCCCTCGGTGACATCATCCGCAGACATGGGGTTAACTTCCACATGTATGCGGATGACACCCAACTCTACCTTTCCTCCTCTACCCTCAACTCCACGACCACCGATGTCCTGACAGCTGCCTGTCCGACATCGAGTCCTGGACGAGAGACAACTTTCTTCAGCTCAACGTGCGCAAAACTGAGGCCCTCCTGATTGGCTCACGTCAGCGCCTCCGCACCTCAGGCGCTGACACCATCAGCATCCAAGGCTGCACTCTCCACCTCTCAAAGCCATCAGGAACCTCGGTGTTCTGTTCGACCCTGAGCTGTCCTTTCTCCCTCATATCCGCACCACAACTGGCACCGCCTTCCATCACCTCCGGAACATCGCCAGACTACGGCACTACCTCACCCCTCACGCGGCTGAAACCCTGGTCCACGCCTTTATCACCTCAAGGCTGGACTATGGGAACTCTCTCCTCGCCGGCCTTCCCGCCACCTCCCTCCACAACCTGCAGGTCATTCAGAACTCTGCAGCTCGTGTCCTGTCCCGCACCAGACACCGCGACCACATCACTCCCACCCTCGCTCGCCTCCACTGGCTCCCCATCCCCCAGAGGATAATTCAAGATCCTCATCCTCACCTACAAGGCCATTCACGGCCTCGCTCCCTCCTACCTCTCCGACCTACTATCCCCCTACCTACCTGCCCGTACCCTCCGTTCCTCTGGCTCCGGTCTGCTCCACATCCCCCGTCCCAACCGCCCTACCATCGGTGGCCGGGCCTTCAGCCTCTCAGCCCCGAGGCTCTGGAACTCCATCCCCCAGTGCCTTCGCCGCTTCCTCCCTTTCCTCCTTCAAGGCCGGTCTCAAGACCTTTCTCTTTGACCGTGCCTTCAGCTCCCCTCTCGACTCTCTATCCCCTCCTCGCTCCCTCCCTTCCCTCCCCTCACCCTGACCATTTCCCCCCTCCTCGCTCCCTCCCTTCCCTCCCCTCACCCTGACCAATTCCCCCCTCCTCGCTCCCTCCCTTCCCTCCCCTCACCCTGACCATTCCCCCCCTCCTCGCTCCCTCCCTTCCCTCCCCTCACCCTGACCATTTCGCCCCTCCTCGCTCCTTCCCTTCCCTCCCCTCACCGTGACCATTTCCCCCCTGCTCGGGTCCTGACCCAACTGTCCAGCGCTTTGGGACGTCCTCCTGACATGAAAGGCGCTTTATAAATGGAATCTTGTTGTTGTTGTAAGTAATTCATTCCAGTTCTGAACCATTCCGAGCCAGTGTGTAACCCTCATGTTTTGGTCAATGCTCACTCTCTTTCAAACCCTTTGGAACTCCATCCCACGTTCCCTTCGCCTCGCTCCCTCTCTTACCTCCTTCAAGGCACATCTCAAGACCCTCCTCTTCGACCGCACCTTCAGCCACCCATCTATCCTCCCTGCACTCCACCCCTCCTAATCCCAACCACCCCCTTCTCGGGTCCGAATCCCTGACTGTCCAGCATCTTGGGATGTCCTCCCGACGTGAAAGGCATTATACAAATGTAATTTTGTTGTTGTTGTATTACGGGGTCTGGAGAAATTGTATTAAAACATCTGCAATAATACTAATCCTTGCATTATCACGGCTTCGAGCCGTCGCAAAGCCCTTCACAGAATATACTGTAAAGTGAATTGACTGTATATTTTGTGGGGGAAACAAA